TGCTCTTCTACACGCATGACTGCGACCGCTCGCACTGCACCCCGGGTTCCCTTAGAAACAGACGCTGCGTTCGTGCGGCGTTTGGAACGCTACGCGACGGCACGCCGTGCAGCTCTAGCTCACGGGAACTGTGTGGTCCGTTTTTCAAAATGAACAAACAAAAAACTTCGTGACATTCACTTTGCATTGATTACCTGTGACCACACGAATGCATCGTTTTTAATAACAACAACGCCGCCGCGCGAGAATAATACGCGCGCTCGCCATCGCTCGTGGGCCCCTGCGATGCCGCAAGGTTTATTTTTATTCTCGAACGCCTGCCGTGAGGGAATCTTTTATTCACGTCAAGAGGTTAGTTTGTGACCGTGGGATGGCGCTAATTTATTCTTATCCGGCCCTACTGGACATCTGTGAAAAGAGCATTATAGCTCATCGGATTTCTCCGATATGAATAAATATTCGGATTCTGAAAAACATTCTGAATTTCCCGTATGAAGCCACTGTGAATACAAAAGGGATTCCACTTCGGTCGAGGTGTGTTGTTGGATTACAGTCGTGGTCGGTGACTATCGATTTGTGCAGCGGTCCCTTTAGTGTTGAGGAAGTGAGGGATTGCGGGGAGGGCTTTCCTGGATTATCCTCGTAGCACAAGTAGCTACTACACATGTAGTAGCTACTACACATGTAGCTACATGTGTAGTAGCTACTACACATGTAGCTACTACACATGTAGCTACTACACAAGTAGCTACTACACATGTAGCTACGGGCCCCGCAATTTCAAGGGCCCCGCACTAAATGCTTTCAAGCTATCAATTCCGGTACAGTGATTCTGCACTTGCTCTATCACTATAGTACTATACCGCTTTCAACTTTAATGAACGACCAGGTGTTTAAGGTTAGCGATTTGTCGTATAATCTGGCTGTATAGCAAATTAAAAAAAACAATTACTTTCGGGGCCCCTTTATAACATATGCTACAGGCCCCACACTGGGGGAGGGGCCCTGTGGTGGGAGTTGAACTTCAGTGGGTGGGCTTTCATTTACCCCATTTTCCAATACATGGGGGGGTGAGAGCCAGAGCAGAATGCACGATGGGCGAAACCAGATGGTATCGATGTTCCTTCTGTTTAGCGTTGAACAATGCTCAAAGTTTTAGAATTTACTGTTGTGCTCCCCCCCTCCCCTTCTGGGTTTTTGTATGCCCACCACATTAAACAGCAAGGTCACCCTTCAGAGTTGTACGGTACTTACTAAAAAGGCCTGATGGATATTAAATCATGAAGGACGTTAATCCTGGATGTTACCTGCAGCCTACAACCAAATGGTCTGGAATGCACCAAATCTCACCAGATCTCGGAAGCTAAGCAGGGTTGAGTATGAATGACGCCGTTTGATGGGCGACCATTGTGCATGAAAGGTGCAATAGGTGGCGATGGCTTGGTGAGACGTTCATGCAGCAGTGGATAGATCGTGGCTGATCATGATGATCGTGATGATGTAAGTGTGTGGAATGGTCAATGTTGTACTCGGCCAGTGAGCTTCTTGGTGGTTTCTTGTGTTAGACAGGTGATTGAAAAGATACAGGGGGATGCCCCATGGATTCTCATGTCTTGAGATGTCCACTGAGCAGCACTAACTCAAGAGACCAAGATAGTTTTCATTTTCAAGAGTGACCTGGGGCCTTAGACTGACAGTAGGGGGCGATGATTGCTCTCTATAATCCCAATTGAGTAATTGCGCAGCAGACAGCGTGTAATGTTATTATGGTTATTACACCGGCAGTAATAAACTACGATAAACACTAAACTATTTTTTTTTCCAGATAAGGTCCACTGAGCTATATAGTTTTTCAGAAGCCACCTGGCCACAAATGATAGCACAACGGAAGTGGCTTATCGTGTGTAAATTTATAGTAGCCAAATACTCCAAATATACAGGCACCAAAGTCAGAATAGAACCCACGACCTCCTGTATACCAGGCAAGGGAGTTAACATCTCGCCACCGCGGTGCCCCTAACCAGGGCAGCCGCTTCACTCGAACCCTGGACCTCTGCCCCAAGCAGCAAATACGCTGCTGCTGGGCCAGGTCACCACCCAGTAGCGTCTCGGTGCTGCTCATGTGACACGAGATTCTAGGGGACGGAACACTGGCTGTACCTACACGATCAGACTTTATGGCTGGGTGGCTCACAGCTCGGAGCACTGAGCCGGCAACCACTCAGACCACAAGTTCGAATGCAGGTGGCCTTCTGTGATTTAAAACAAATTCTCGAGGGTAGTCTATTGATGGTCTCAGCCATGTCATCAATGACCGCAAAACAAAAAAGAAGATGTGTTAAATTTAGTTCTTAATTTAGCCAAATTCCAAGTGCGAGATTTAAAGTTATAGGTTTAACCGACACGAGGTGAAGATTATTCTCAGTGGCAGGGCGGGTGGGGAGGTGGTGTGTGCTACTGTGTGGACCAGAGATAACCTGAAGGGACCACAACAGTAGTTCTGCCCTATCCACTTCTGCACTTCTGTGAGATCCGTTTGGATTATTTTGTCTCGTGATACTTATCACACAATCAGGTTATAATAGGAGGCAAGGACGTAAATATATTTGTAAAGGTTTTTGTATTTAACTTTTATAAACACTGCACTCGACAGACGTACACTGTTGGGCGTGTGGTCAGGAAGGAAGACACGGCTGGCTGTGAGGTCGCGTGGTGCGGACGTGACTTTGGGAGGCACGGGTTTGAGCTTAAGAGAGAGGGAAAGAGAAGTAGACCAGAGAGAAGTAGCAAGCACTGCGGGGGAAGAAAAAAAAACACAGGACGCCCACGCACGTATACGGTGGGGAGAGACCAAGTGTGAGATTGAGACGCAGGTGCGAGAGTTTTGGAAACGCAGGCGTGTGATTGAGATTCGCGGGTGTGAGATTGATGGACAAAGGTGCCGGGAGGCGGGCAACCGAAAGCGTCCCCTTCTTGGCAACTTTTGAGCCCATCCTCGTCGACGCCCATAGAACGTATTGGCGGCAGCAGAATTTTTTTTAAAGATGAAATGAAATAAACTCATCCCTCGGGTCCCATCGCGGCCCTTAGTCAGTGCGCTAAGAGCTGTGCACTCACTTTGCGGGATCGCTCACTGCCGTACGAAGTGCACCGGCCTGGCCATAAGTGGCACGTTTGGCCCACCGCCGCCCCCGCATTCCGGGTCCAAAAGCTGCGACCTTTGACCCCCCCCCCCCACCAGATTCCCCCGTTGCCGCCGCTCCTCAGACGTAAAACCTTTTATCGCGCAGCTTTCTCCACACCCACCCACCTCGTGTTGCTTTTTATTGCTCCGGGGGTGCGGGCGGCGGAGCCATCCATCAATCGGCGAATTCGGATTTAGGAGCGGCGCTCGCCAAACGGCAGAAACCTTTCTTGACCCGACGGTGTCCACGCTTTGAACCCATTGCCGGTTTCCGTGTCGCTTGCATCGGCGTCGTCGCAATCGTCACAACAACCGCGGCGTTTCTGATTTACTGCAGCAGTGCAACGTGCGTAGGGCCCTCTTGTCAATTAGGGCCGCTACCACCACCCCCCCTTCCATCGCCGTGCGGCACGTGGTGTTTTTTTGACCTTACTCGGCCACGCTGGTTGGTACGCGTTGGTGAAGGTTGGAGGAGCCATAGAGGAGCGGTTCTCAACCTATTTTTGGTTAATGTACCCCTTGTTAAATTTTGTTTCAACAGAGTTACCCCACTATGGGGACCTCATTTGCCAGTAAAAATATGATAATTGGTTCTTTACCCTTCTATCTGGCAACAAAACTGACACCTTTTTGCAAGGAGTCATGTTTGCATAGACCGCAATACCTGCAGTCATAAATACAAACAAAAGACATAACTCTGATGATGTGCACTGTCCTTGAAGTTGATTGGTCCACACCCGAGACAGCTTTCCTTCGAGCCTAGTCTCATATGGGTTGGACCAGATGACGCCAAAAGGCGCCTTTTGGCGTCATCTGGTCCAACCCATATGAGACTAGGCTCGAAGGAAAGCTGTCTCGGGTGTGGACCAATCAACTTCAAGGACAGTGCACATTATCAGAGTTATGTCTTTTGTTTGTATTTATGACTGCAGGTATTGCGGTCTATGCAAACATGACTCCTTGCAAAAAGGTGTCAGTTTTGTTGCCAGATAGAAGGGTAAAGAACCAATTATCAGAGTTACCCCACTTGCCTCACCCAGCACGGTTCTGAGTAAAAAATGTACAATAATAAATATCAATATTTTAATCAATTGTCCATTTTGTGAGGTATCCTCGCGAGTAACTTCAAGCGGATAAAAAAAAAAATAACGAACGCTCTGTATGCATGACGTAATTTGTTCGCGCTTGCTGATTACTCTTTGAATCATTGTTTACAATCAATGAGTTCAGAACGGTCTTTTATATCGTTCTAGGCTACCATATGGATTTACGTTTCATCGTAGTTATTTTATATTGACAGATTCATTCATGATTATTCACCAATGACTCATGTATGATATAATTTAGCACATTTATAAATCACCTCACGTACCCCCCTTGGACATTGCCACGTGTACCCCCAGCAATCCACGTACCCCCGTTGAGAACCACTGGCATGGAGGGGGTAGGAGCATAATACAGCACAACAGTGGATTTTGCTCTGGTTCCTCTACTGCTGCCCACCCCCTGGCCACCGATGACAAACCTGCTGTGCGCACACGGCGGTTGCACATCCAACCGCTATCCAGGCTCGGCCCTGCTTGGCTTCTGAGACCTGACGAGATCCGGCACTATTGTCGCCGGGACCCGTGCTTCACGATGCCTTCCTAATTGCACCTTCTCACGGCCGCCCATTTCATTACTCTCCGCGTCACAGGTTTAATCGGTTTTTACGTCCTCCCCTGTGTTCAAGTTGTGTTTTTGGTATTTACACGCGTGCATCTGCTCGTCCGCAATTGTGTCCTCGTGTGTGTGTGCGTGTGCGTGTGTGCTTCAGCGTGACCGGAGGGGAATTGTTCGAAGACATCGTGGCGCGGGAATACTACAGCGAGGCCGACGCCAGGTAACGCTGTGCCGGTAGCCCCAGCGCGACGCTCCTTGACGACTGCCGCCACGCGAGCTCCGCCACGGCTCGTTTGCCACGGCCCCCCCAGCTGAGCAGCTCCCCCCCGTGTGTGTGCGCGCGTGTTGTCACGTGTTCGTGTCGATGGATTGTGTGCGATCCGCGTAATTAAGTGTCCTCCCCCCTCCCCCCACGGCTGCGTTGCCTCTGCCGCGGCGGTCGAGTTTGAAGCCGCGGCACTGCCGCCTGCAGTCGCGCCGCGTTGATGCTTAACCTCTGACATTGGACCTCTGCTCACTGCTGGACCCGTCTCTGCTCCCGTGTGCCGCCCCTGTTCCCGTTCATGCCACACCGCCACCACCGCCACCACCGCCGCCGCCACCTGTACTGCCAATACCACTACCACCACCACTACTTTTTCTACCAACACCAACACCACCATTGGTACTACCAACACCATCACTGATACCAACACCACCACCGCGGGGGGAACTCCTGCCACCTCCACCAGCCACTGCATCCAGCAGATCCTGGAGGCTGTTCTGCACTGCCATCAGCTGGGCATCGTGCACAGGGACTTGAAGGTGATCTTCCGCATTGCCATCTTTGCCGCCGTCGGGTTCATGATCAATCCCCAGGACAATTGTATTGCATTAGTATGATTATCACGAGTAAATGGGGGCAGAGTGGTTGTGCAGGGGTTAGGAGTGCACGATGAGTGAACCTGTCGGCCTGAGTTCTATCCCTGACCACGGCTAACGTCGGTGGAGAGCGATGCCTCAAACGGTCCGGGGATCCAACTCGTGCTGACCCAACGTGTTTGAAGTACGGTCAAACAACCCCCCCATGACCGCCAAGGAATCGGGGGGTGGGGGGGTGTGGACCTTCATCCAGCAATGGATTGAAAGGGCAAAGGAGGCAGTAACTATGAATATCAACGAAACTGATATAATACAGCATGGCAATCTGAGTAATTAATTTGTATGTGTCAGTTGGGTAACGAGTGTTGCACACACAGACACACGCGTAATTAAACACAGGGAGGGAAACTTCATCCACCAGTAAACTGATAGAGCTATTACAGGATTTTATAATTATTTAAATATAACTCACGAAATTTAAGTATAATGCGCTTGCTGTACTTAAGCTCGTGCACGGACAACGCTCTCTGGGCTTGTTATACCGCGCTAACGAGGCGATCTCCTCCGCCGTCTGCGTGTGCTCGCTAACGCCAACCCGACCCGCCGGCTATTGTCGCGACGATGCCGACCGACGGCGCCATCGTCAGCCCGAGAACCTGCTGCTGGCGAGCAAGACGAAGGGTGCGGCGGTGAAGCTGGCCGACTTTGGCCTGGCCATCGAGGTGCAGGGCGAGCAGCAGGCCTGGTTCGGTAAGCGCTCGCGCTGGCGACAATCCCCCACACAGCTGCCTGCCTCGGGGGTTGTTTCGGTTTGGACACGTCGGCTTTCGCTGTGTGCTGCGTTTTCTCAGATCAACAAAATGTAGGCGTCTATGTTGAACTTCTTTCGCACCGTGCGTTACCAACAAAGGTAATTGGAGGTGGGACAATAAAAGCATTCCACTGTGGGCTGAGTAACTGTAACCCAGCCAGTAATAGGCACTGCATATGCTCAGATTAACATAATCCTTTGCAATTTATATGCCTGCATTGACCCCTCTCTGGTCTTCACAGTGATGACATAACCCATATTCTATTTAGGACCAAAACAAGAAGATTTCTTAGCAATTCTGGCAAATCACCTGATGATGGCTTTACTATCCAACACACAAGCGGTGTGCTGACGTAGTAGTTAATCGGCACGATTTGTTTACGTGACTGACCTTACTAATTGGCTGTGTCGGATAGTGGCGGGTTAACGACACATTTATATCTACGAGATCCTACCCAGAAAAACATTTATGGTTAGGGGTTGTGTGTCAATGGGGTCATTGATATGACAAGAGAAGGCCCACTTCGAGTCAAAGAGCTCTTTTTCACAGGTGACCAGGCCACAAATGATGGCTCAACGAAGTGGCTTATCATGTGGAAATATTTATAGTGGCCAAACAATCTAAACGTGGAGGGTTGGGGTCGAACCCACGACCTCATGTATATCAGGTGAGGTAGTTAACATCTTGCTACCATGGCACCCAGTAGTGCAATAATGGTACAATAATCACCCTGATTCCATTTTGATGTTTCCGCAATTCAATTTTGCTACAAATGGTTTTTTAAAGTGATTTGTCTGAGCCAACTTGCAGTATGGGATTTGTATTTAATTTAATATTTATTTTTCTGATTGTGCACGGTTTTCTCTGATTATGCACCGATTCGTAATTAGTTGTTCACGAGGGCCACGTCCGTTGCATCCAGGTTTTGCTGGCACGCCGGGATATCTGTCCCCGGAGGTGCTCCGGAAGGATCCGTACGGAAAACCCGTGGACATGTGGGCGTGCGGTGAGACATTCCCCCAGCCCCCGTGTATGACCGCCACTGAACAACAATCGCCAGCGATCTCTGCGATTGTAACCATACTAACAACACTATTGTCTACAACAATAGAAACACTGTGGTGACAATGATAACTACTGTGACACTTTAAGAATGGTGGTATTTTAACAATAGCAACAATGAGTGCCGGGTAGAACTAGGGTGTGAATGGTGTTGGAAACACCAGTTCCTTTAAGTGTTATCCCGAAGGTTAATAGGTGCTTGCTAACAACACTTGCCAACGCAGCCTCTGAAGCTAAATGTGAATCTTCATCATGTGTGTGCACAAGTGTGTGTTTGTGTGTTTTACGGGGAGCGGTGGCACAGTGGCATGCGCATTGCACTATGAACCCATAATTTGTCTCGGGTCTTCTCAATGTTCAATTCAGCCTTAAATGGGTACCTGCTGCGGTGTGTAAACATTTCGGCGCCGGCCACACCAACCCTTTGTGCGCCATGCCGGCCTTAGCATTGAAGGTTCCAACTAACAGCGCCTGCCACAGTATTCTGTTCAGGGCTACAGTTTGGTCTTTGTCTGTGTGTATACATGTACTAAATTACGTGCTGTGCCGGCTTTCATAGGCACTCACCAAAAGCACTTACCCCAACAGTCTGCTAAATGTTACATAGGAGATCCTTGTCTCGGTCTCTAACGCGTGCGCGTATGCGTGGGTGTGTGTGTATAGGAGTGATCCTGTACATCTTGCTGGTTGGGTACCCTCCCTTCTGGGATGAGGATCAGCACCGCCTGTATCAGCAGATCAAGGCCGGAGCCTACGACGTGAGAGCACAACAACACACCCAGGGCGACTCGCAGCCAAACAACCTCCCACAAATGCCCATATGGCCACACGGCCACACACAGCTACACACAGCCACAAAGACGAACACAAAGCCGGAGCAGACTGTTGGGGCAAGTGCTGTCAGCAAGTAGCACCTATTCATGCCGGCATGGCACACGAGGGGGTGGGTCGCCAGCACCACGCCCATGTTTACACACTGCATCAGGTACTCATTTGATGCTGAGTCCACCTAGGGGAGGCCCAAGACCGGTTCAGATAATCGTCACTCGTGGTGGACGTAAGCGGGAATCGAACTCGGGTCGCCGGGTTCGTAGTGCAGTGTGCTAACCGCGACACTACCGCTCCCCACACGGCTACACAACCTCCCACAGCCACACAAACAAGATGCACAACCCAGGCACAACCACACAACTCCGCCACATCCACGCATCCCCCATGATCTTTGTGGTGAAGGCCCAGCGAGTGAGGACACGTGCTCTCTGGTCCACGTTGTTTAATACATTGCCACCTTTTAAAAAACAAAAAGGTCATTAACCAGGACGTGTCGGGTACATGGGCCTGGTGGATATTTGCATGCCGTTGTTTTTTTGTCGCCCAACGTTCTGCGACGGGCCTTTGTTCTTGTGTACAGCAGAAATCTAATGAATATTTTTAAAAGGGGCGTTTTGTCTTTTTGGCCAAATTTATCTGATTGGCCCATCGCCGTCTTGAGTCAGAGTCCATTCGGAACTCTTAGCGTAGTCGCTCGACAGCGACCTGCTGAAGCGGATAACGCTGAATTCCCACACAGTACGCGGACCCGAACTACCTATGCTGCATGTGACAGCCTCATTCTTCCAGCGCGTGCAGGGCAACCAGCCACTGTTTATATATTTTGTCCTTGACGAACGTGAGTTTGATTGGGTCCCATTTTGTTCATGACTGTGGGTTTTGCCTTTTGTGTCTCCTGCGCCGCGCGTGCAGTTCCCGTCACCCGAGTGGGACACTGTCACCCCAGAGGCCAAGAGTCTCATCAACCAGATGCTGACGATAAATCCGGCCAAGCGTATCACGGCCTCTGAGGCCCTCATCCACCCCTGGATCTTCGTGAGTGTTTACGGCCGAACAGTGGCTCTGAGCGTGATGCACTGTGTCCGACTACTGGCTCAGTGTTGCTAAGTGGTGCACTGTGGATGACGAGTGGTCCACTATCGCTCCACTGTGGCTGACAGTGTTATATGCACATGTCACGCGTGTGTGTGTGTGTGACGTCTCTGTGATCCGTGTCATGCTCTCGTATCTTGCATGTGCTCGTGTTTCACGAAAAACATACCTGTGCTTTGTTTAACTCATTCGTGGCATGTGCGTAATGTCTTTTTGCTGTGTACAATGCACCGGTGTTCTATGTAAATGTGCTGCATGCTACGTATAATATGCTCATGTCACGTGTCACGTGATTGCGGTGTCCAATGTGTGCTCACGATCATGTACGTGCGCTTGTTGCTTAACTGCAGACCCGTACCTTGTTCATCTCATCCTCGTTATGTACAAGCGTGTTGGTGTCGTGTACCTGTGTGTTGGTGTCTTGCCACGCTCATGTCCTTGTGTCTTGTGTTACATGCCCTGCGCTGCGTAAGTAACACTCTCGTGCCAAATAAGCAACGTGGTTGCGTGTCCCGCACGTGCTCGCGTCTTGGGTTAGCGGGCAACTCGCCCGCGCCACGTATGACGCACTCATGTCACGTGTGACGTGTCCCCGCCCCCTCCTTCCCACAGCAACGCTCGACCGTGGCGTCGTGCATGCACAGGCAGGAGACGGTCGAATGCCTCAAGAAGTTCAACGCCCGGCGCAAGCTCAAGGCAAGGAAGGGATGGGAACATAACGTGCCTGGATTAGCGTGGATGGCAGCGAGTGTTTTTATACCTATAAACCATCCCCCTAAATAATTCGTGATGTCGTTGAAAGGGAATTCTAGTTTTAGTAAACACAGGCGACATATTATCGTTTGGCTGATAACACCTTTACTGTATAGAGGACTGCAGGGCTTGGGCAATTGCTTGTGCCTGCGGTTCCTCCTCGCCCCTCTTTGAGTCGTTCTCTCTCTCTACGAGAGTAAGCGCGTAACTGCACGGCGCGTTCTTGTGTTGCAAGTCAACGGTTTGGCACGCAGACTTAAATGCGTCGCCCACCATCCTGGCGTGGATGAAAAGCAACGTTTGCCCTAGCACACCCAATTAACCGTGGTATTTTTAGGGCTTTCTCCCTTATCAAGAAAGGTGGGCAAATTTTACATGCGATGTGAATGGCAGTCCTAATTATTTGACACCCTGCACTCGAGCACAGAGCCACTTCGTTGTTATGATAATGATTACCCACATCTTTAAAAATGTCGAAAACGTAGGTGTGGAAGGGCGGAACTTTCCCATCTGTCAAACCGGCGACGTGACGACTTAATTCTCCGTCGTGTCAAGGAAGTTCCTATTTGCCTGGAGACTCCCACGTGCTTACACGCCAATCGCACACACACACGTCCATTGACTCATTTCTTTTTAAAGTCGCCATTGGCCGAGTGACGTCGACACTCGTCGCTGTGCTTAACGGTTTTTTGTCTTTCGTCATTTTGACCGACTCGGGTCACACGCGCAAATGAGACTCCTCCTGGTCTCTCGAGATCTCACCTGGTTACACAAAATAAACTTGCCATCACCACAGCACTTGCGCCGGGCTAGGTGCACTTTTGGGGCCATGTGAAGAATCAAAAAGACTTGCGGGCAAGGAGGTCACGGCGCAGACCCCCCAGGCGCTATGGGTTAACTGACTTGAGTCGTTGAGACGATGGCGAAGTTGTGGCTGTGCAAGCGCACACACAAAGACAAAGATCCCCCTTGTAGCCTTAACTGACTGTTGGGACAAGTGCTGTTAGCGAGCACCTGTTAAGGCCAGCATGGCACACGAGGGGGCGGGTGGCCAACACCATGCCCGGCTGCCTTTGTCTCCGCAGTGGCGATGTTTACGCACCACACCAGATACTCATTTGAGGCTGAGTCGACCTAGGGGAGGCCCAGGACCGGTTCAGATAATCATCGCTGGTGTTGACCGTGAGCGGGAATCGAACTCGGGTTTCCGGGGTTCGTAGCGCAGCGCGCGAAGCGCTACTCCGCCGCTCCCCTGTTGCTCACCTCGTCGATGCTGCCGGTGTGTGTTCCCCAAACCCTCTTTGCTGTCCCACGGTGCCCTCCACGGGTGTGCCGACGGCCGTCACACTCGACTTGCACTGCAGGGAGCCATCCTCACCACCATGCTCGCCACGCGGAACTTCTCAGGTAGCGCCTCTCTCGCTCCGTGCCGCCGTTTGTTCTGTGTCTGTGCGTGTGCGTGCATGCGCTCGTGAGCGTGTGCGAGTGTGGGGAGCGGTAGGTGCTCTCGAACAGTACTGGCCCCAGCAGTCTGTTAAGGCTATAGGAGGGTGGTCTTTGTCTTTGTGGGAAGCAGTCGGCCTAGTGGGTCACACCGGTGACCCCAGTTCGATTCCAGCTCGTGGCCAACACCATTGATGGTTATCTCAACCGGTCCTGGGCCTCTCCGAGGTGGACTCGGCATCAATTGAGTACCTGGTTCAGTGTGTAAACATGGGCGTGGTGTGGGCGACCCGCCCCCTTGTATGCCGGCAATCATCGATGCTACTTGCTGACAGCACTTTCCCCAACAGTCTGCTCAGGCTATATGTGGGTGCTTTGTGTTCGTCTTTGTGGCTCTGTGTGGCCATGTGTAGCCGTAGGGGCATTTGTGGGAGGTTGGTTGGCTCAGTCTTAAATGAGTAACTGGTGCGGTGTGTAAATATCGCCAATAGGGAGACAAAGGCGGCCAGGCGTGGTGTTGGCCACCCACCCCCTCGTGTGCCCTGCCGGCCTTCATAGGTGAATGCTAACAGCTCTTGCCCCAACAGTCTGCTAAGGCCATGTGGGGGGTTCTGTGGGGAGCAGTCGTGGAGTGGGGTCACACCGGCGACGCGAGTTCGATTCCAGCTCAAGACCATTTACAGTGGTGAATCCATATACACTGGTGAATGTCTGAACTGGTCCTGAGCCTCCCCTAGGTGTAACTTGTGCAGTATGTAAACATCAGAATTGTGGGAGACAAAAGTGGCCGGGTGTGATTCTGGCCACACCACCCCCATCGTGTGCCGCCGCAGCACCTCGACTTGGAGCTCGCTGCGACAGCACTTGCCCCCAGCAGTCTGTGAAGGCTGCCTGGGGGTGGGGGGGGGGGACTTGGGAGCGGTGGCATAGTGGGTCGTGCACTGCGCTATGGACCTGGTGATTTGGGTTAAATTTCCAACCATGGCTAACACCAATGGCAAATATCAGAGCTGGTCATGGGCCCTCCCCGAGGTGAACTGAGCCTTAAATCTGTCCCTGGTTTGGTGTGTAAAGCATGAGCAATGGGGGAAACAAAGACTTCCAGGTATTGGACTGGTCATTCTGCTACTTCGTGCACCGCATTGACCTGAATGAGTGCTCGCCAACAGAACGTGCTTCTATAAGGATAAGGATGAATGGGAAATCTTTCTGTGTGCGTCAACATCGGCACTCAGTAGACCCAGAAGGGTGGGTGTGGCCGACCGTGCAAATCGGAGGTGATGTGAAGTGTATTTTAGGGTCACACATTGGTGTGACCTCGCTGATGATGTCCGTCTCTTGTTCCACCAGCGGCCAAGAGCCTGATGAACAAGAAGACGGACGGCGTGAAGGTACGTCCTCTCTCCCAACCGCGTATCGACTATGTTTGCACGAGACGCAATTACGTATTTATCCATCGCTGCGAGCATCTTTGGCTGCATATAATCGGGCACTGGAGGGGAAGATTTTTCAATTCGGCGGAACTTTCTTGGTTGTGCCGCTGCGCTCTGCTACTTCTGTCACTGCAAAAAAAGGGGGCCTTCGGATTTGAAATGCGGTCCAGGACCGGCTCGGTGCTGGAACCAACGTCGGCCCATAATCCGTCACTCAGAGTGTATTTTCCCCATAGCCGCCACCTGCCACTGGAAGAGGGTCCATGGGAAAGAAAAAAAAAACACTCCCGGGAGAAGTCAACGAGTCGCACGCTTATCCAGAAGGCAGTGGGAAATGGAAGCGCGCAGCACCGCGATTTATATTGACCCACCCAAACTGAACTTCGGTGAAAAGAGCTTCATAGCTCATTGGATTCGTACGGTGCGAAAGAAGGAAAAAATACCTACATATACAATATGCATTCTCAAGTAAATTTGTCGTAATATTGCGACGATCGAAACTGTTAAACTATAAACGAAACTTGCCGTCGTGTCGCGTTCCAAACGCCGCACGAGGACAGCGTCTGTTTCTAAGGGAACCCGGGGTGCAGTGCGAGCGCTCGCAGCCATGCGTGTAGAAGAGCGTGAGAACGATTGCCCTCTTTGCAGAGGCGGTGGGGGGGTGGATTCTTTGTTTTCACGGTTTGCAGAGCACAGGCCCTGAGGCCCTATTTTTATTTTCCCAGGTAAGGCTCGGTGAGCTCTGTAGCTCTTTATCAGAAGCGACCTGGCTATCACAAATGACACCTCAATGAAGTGGCTTATCACGGGGAAATTTCTGCCAGCCAAATACTCTAATGAGTGGCCCTAATTTTTTTTTTCCAATGTGAAGGCCTTTTCGTTTCATCGGGGGGGGGGGGGGGGGGCGGGAGTGGGGAGGCATTAACACGTGTGCGTGTCCACGCGTTCTTGTCTGCGGCAGGAGTCCACAGACAGCAGCAACACCACTCTGGAGGATGAAGACCTGAAACGTAAACGCCACATGAGGGGGGCATAGCCACGGGAAACGACCATTGGCTGACATGTCACCTGTTTATATTTATATATTGTGTTCCTTTCAAGGCCACGGTGCTATTGGCATGGAATGTGTTTGAGTTGTTTGGTTGTTAATTTTGCCTGTTGCACCACTGCCAACGCAACAGCAACATGACCAACATATTTAGAATATAATTGGTGACAAGCCAGTGAAGTTTCGGGTGCATCTTTTAAAAGTATTCCCAAGTACATTGGAATATGTTACTGGGATACTCTTTAAAGACGCACCCTCTATATATATGAAAAACTAAATTTAGTCTCAAAACTAAGTACAATGCATACACACGTTCTGATGGAGGTGATGGTAATGTCAAAGATCTAGATGATAACGATGATTTTATTGTGTGTTGCCGTCCCGTCAATCGCCATGGCGACAGTGCGCAAGCAAGAGATCATCAAGGTGACGGAGCAGCTGATTGAGGCGGTCAACCACGGAGACTTTGAGGCCTACACGTACGTCCCCCAGACCTTTCCACCCAAAAAATGGTGGAGCTATTGTAGGGGCGCGCCTATAATCCAGCACTGCAGAGGCGAGGGTTTGTGGATCGCGCAAAATGTTGTGGAACTCCATTCCCGTGGGCCTTGAGATGCTATGCCCCTTGCTTGTCAGGAGAATGTAGTGGGGAAAAGTGTGGACTAATATCATCTATCCCTTCTGTATGGGATAGAGCGTTTCCCCTTCGCACGTGTGAGTTTTATCCGGGTGCTCTGGTTTCCTCCCTACAAGTATAAAACACTCACTAATTGGCTGAACATCTTAATATACAGTAGAACCCCTCTTAACGACCACCCCTGTTAACGACTCATCGCTTAACGACGGTCCTCCATAGAGCCCAGTGTGTAGTGTAGTTTATAATGTAGTGTATAGTAGTGGAGTGTATAGTAGTGTAATGTATAGTAGTATAGAGTAGAACCTCTCTTAACGACCACACCTGTTAACGACTAATCGCTGAACAATGGGCCTCCTTAGAGCCCAATGTGTAGTGTATAGTGTAGTGCATAGTAGTGTAGTGCTTCCTTAGAGCCCAATGTGTAGTGTATAGTGTAGTGCATAGTAGTGTAGTGCTTCCTTAGAGCCCAATGTGTAGTGTGTAGTGTAGTGCATAGTAGTGTAGTACTTCCTTAGAGCCCAATGTGTAGTGTATAGTGTAGTGCATAGTAGTGTAGTGCTTCCTTAGAGCCCAATGTGTAGTGTGTAGTGTATAGTAGTGTAGTGCTTCCTAAGAGCCCAATGTGTAGTGTATAGTGTAGTGCATAGTAGTGTAGTGCTTCCTTAGAGCCCAATGTGTAGTGTATAGTAGTGTAGTGTTTCCTTAGAGCCCAATGTGTTTGTTTACTGACCATTCCTCTGTTAACGACGGGCTGTTATAGGTACAATAAATATTAATGCATTGAGTCACCATGTTTGGTTTAATATTATGTGTTTATAATATTGTTAGTATCTTTATGTGTTAATATCCATTGTTTAAACATCATAAAATATATTCTTGGTTCTTTCGGTAAAGTCACGTAGAAGGGAAACGATAAAATAATAAAAATATAAAACAATAAAATTCTCAAGACGTTTAGACTGCAACACAAGCAATCATCAGGTGTGATGAGAATTTTATTGTTTTATATTTTTATTATTTTATTGTTTCCCTTCTACGTGACTTTACCGAAAGAACCAATAATATGAATCCCTGCAGTCACAAAAGCTTTAAATCAAAATCATGAAGTATGTTTTTTTGGGTGAAGATGGGTAAATTCGGAACGAATGAAGCCTTTAACATGTATTTCCTATACTTGCTTAACGACCAAAAATCACGTAACGACCAGTTTCATGGAACCCCAATTCCCGTCGTCGAGAGGGGTTCTACTGTCCACAGAACTGCAGAGCAATTATTGGAGCCGGCTTACCATGCGGCTGTCTTCCACCTTGTCTGTGGCGGCTCCTCCTCCCCGATTGTGAGATGCACTTTGCATGAACGACGATGCTACATAAAACTGTATTGAGTCAAAGCGAAGAGGGGGAGATTCCATCGTACCTATTGATAAGGGAATGTATGATGTCAGATGCAGCTTTTGGTTGATCACCTCCTTCCCTCTTCAACCCTCATTCCTCCTCCTCCACCTCCTCCAGGAAGCTCTGTGATCCAGGGATGACGTCCTTCGAGCCGGAGGCGCTGGGAAACCTGGTGGGAGGGATGGAGTTTCACAAGTTCTACTTTGAGAACCGTGAGGCTCGCAAGCCACGCAACCTTGAAACCCCCCCCCCTTGACCTCCACCTTCATATTTTCCCAATATTCTAACTCTGTATTCTTGTACTCCCAACAATAGTAACAGTCGCCAACGGCTTGTGTGACTCATGGTCACACGTATGCACACACGATAATTCATGTTTACACACCATGCTAAGTACTCAATTAAGGCGCAGTCAACCTAGGAGAGACCGTGGCCATCATTCGAACCTCAGTCCCAATTTTCAGAGCGCAGCATGCGAGCCGCTGCCCGGTCGCACGTGCAAAACATACATGCCCTGTGTAAAGCCAGATTGTAGACTGTCGAAGCTCTTGTCGTAGCACGCACATTGAACTTCTTTATCACCGCGCATAGCCAACCGTGCTAATCGGAGGCGCGGCGGAAGGACAACAAACTAAACACAAACAAGGAGTTCTGAAGAAATACTTTTTAATTAAGATTTCAAAGAGCATAGCTCCAGTGGCTTCCTAATTCTGGAAGGAAGAGCGTTCAAGACGGCCGCAGAAGCGCATTATAAAGCGCGCAATGCGGTGACCGTTTTTGTTCGATGGTTAGCCAAAAGCCGCTGTGAGGATGACCAGCGTTTGCGTGATGGTTTTTGCTCCTTGATGAGATGAGCAAGGTTAATTGATGTTTGAGAGCACCTAGTACACATACATATTCTGATTCAAGGCTTGCATGCCTGGCCACACCTATGTTTTCCCCATTGCTGGTGTTCACACACCTCACAGGGTGCTCATTTAAATCTCGAGTCGACCTTGGGGGGAGGTTTCAGGACAGGTTCTGCTATTGCTTGCCCCCGATGGGAGCCACGGTGAGAATTAGAACCCGGGTCGCCGGGTTCATAGCGGAGTGCGTGAACCACTTGCGCCACCGCTTCCCCCACAAGCGTCAACACGCCGAGTGCTGGAGTTGATATTATTGACAATGAAAGCGCCTTCACAGTAGGTGGTGTGCGCAGGCTGCTGGGTAGCCCAGCTGTCACTGGGCCTCTCGACTCCCTCCTCTCTCTCTCTCTCACTCTCTCCCCCTTGCCCTTTCTCTTGCCTCTCTCCTACCCAATCTCTGCATTTCATCAATTTATCCACGTGTCTCTCTCTCTCTCACGCTCTCTGTCCTTCTCTTGAAATTCCCTTCCATCTGCCTCCCCCCTGCCTCTTTATCCCCACTCCTCTCTGCTCCCACCTCTCTCCCCTTGTCTGCCTGCCTCCCCTCCCCCTCTTCATTTCTCTATCCCCCTTCTCCCCACACGATTCTGCTTCCCCCACATCTCCATTTCTCCTCTCCCATTACAATACAGTACCTTGTGGATAATATAGCATTGTAATTCACCACAGCACTTGTGCCAGGCTAGGTGCACTTTTAATGCCACGTGAAGGATCAAAAGGTTCTCGGATAGGAGATCACAGCACAGACTCAGGTGCCATGGGTTAACTGTATGTATGTTGAACTTCTTTTGCATACGTAGCCAACCGTGATATTAATCGAAGGTGCAGGGGAAGCAGTTCTAAAGAAGATAGTTTTCAATTTAGATTTTAAAGTGCATAGCTCCATTTGGCTTCCTGATATCGGAAGGAAGAGCATTCCAGACGGCCAGAAGCGCATCTGAAAGCACGCGGTGCAGTTATAACCGTCTTTGTTTGATGGTGAGCCAAAAGCCGCTGCCGAAAACTTACTGAGATGACAGATGGTGGCTGAGACTGTGGGAACACAAACACACGTAGCATTGAAATATAACTGCATCTCAAAGCACTGCACAGTGCGAGGTGAGCATATTTATATGATAGATAGAGGCAGCCAGACGTTGGTTTATATTTGATTTGGTGCGAATCTATGGGAGAGAAAGATGTAGTCCGTGATATGGAGAGGAGAAAAGGATGATGTTGAGCCTAGATTTTAACGAGGGCAGGGAATCGACAGCGCCGATTTTTTTTACACTTTTTTATTATATTACCCGGTAAGGCCCACTGAGCTGTATAGCACTTTTTCAGAAGTGGCCCCAAATGGTAGCTCAAAGAAGTGGCTTATCAAGTGGAAATTATAGCAACCAAATACTCTAAATGCATGTTGATTATAATAAATGTGGAGGAAAAACCGGAGGACCCAGAGAAAAATCCAAGCGACCATAGGGAGAGAGACACCGCAAACTCCAAACTATACAGGCGTAAGGGTCGGGATCAAACCCACGACCTCCTGCATACCAGGCCGAGGCGGTTCACATCTCGCTACTGTGGCGCCCCAATAACTCCACGAGGCTCCCCTGGGTAAACGTGCAGATTGATCATCAGAATAATAACCTTGCCTGTCCCCCTCACCACAACACCCCCAGTTTTCTCAAAGAGCCAGCGGCCCGTGCACACGACGCTGCTGACGCCGCACGTGCACCTGCTGGGCGAGGAGGCGGCGTGCGTGGCCTACGTGCGGCTCACGCAGTACGTGGACAACGCCGGCGTGCCGCGCACGCAGCAGGCCGAGGAGACGCGCGTGTGGCACCGGCGCGACGGCAAGTGGCAGAGCGTGCACGCCCACCGCTCGGGAGCACCCACGCAGCACGGCAGCGCCAAGTAAGCCGCCGCCACTCCCCGCCACATCGATACGCCGGACACGGCCACCACACACAAACAAGCTTGCCACCCACCGCCTCCACCACCACACACACGCTTGCCACCCACCGCCTCCACCACCACACACACGCTTGCCACCCACCGCCTCCACCACCACACACACGCTTGCCACCCACCGCCTCCACCACCACACACACGCTTGCCACCCACCGCCTTCACCACCACACACACGCTTGCCACCCACCGCCTCCACCACCACACACACGCTTGCCACCCACCGCCTCCACCACCACGCACACGCTTGCCACCCACCAGCCTCCACCACCACACACACGCTTGCCACCCACCGCCTCCACCACCACGCACACGCTTGCCACCCACCCCCTCCACCACCACACACATGCTTGCCACCCACCGCCTCCACCACCACACACACGCTTGCCACCCACCGCCTCCACCACCCGACAACCTCCCATCCCACGCCAACACCCACCCCACGGACTCACCTCTGGCATCTCACCCACCCCCACCTTACCACCCCCCCCACCCACCTTACCACCCCCCCCCACCCACCTTACCACCCCCCCCACCCACCTTACCACCCCCCCCACCCACCTTACCCCCCCCCACCCACCTTACCCCCCCCACCCACCTTACCCCCCCCCACCCCACCCATCTTACACCCCCCCCACCCACCTTACACTCCCCCCCCACCCACCTTACCCACCCCCGACCCTCCTTACCCCCCCTCACTAACCTTACCCCCCCCCACTCACCTTACCCCCACCCACCTTACCCCCCCCCACACACCTTACCCCACCCACCCACCTTACCCCCCCACCCACCTTACCCAAACCCCACCCACCTTACCACCCACCCCACCACGCCACCACCCCCAACCTCACCCACTCACCACTCCTCCCCCACCCACGTCCTCACCACAGCTCTTGTGCCAAGCTCGGTGCCACTTTGAACGCATGTGTACACAATGCACCTGTGTTGGGTCATGCTGAGTGGTTAAATAGAATTATTCATTATTCCATCGCATGCATGGTCAGTCGCACTTGCGCATTAGGTATTTTTATGGGCTTTTTTAAATGAAACAATCTATGGCACCTGTTCCTGTTAACCTGTCTCGCTATTCCACTCCCCACCCTTCCCCTCTCATCTCTTTCCCTCCCCCACCCCTCCTTCATGACCAATATAATTTGTTCTGATTATTTTTTTAATTGGCACAAATGGGGTCTCCCAATCGCAATTGGTGAGATTAATTGAGTCTGCTTAATTGAAATCCGATTGTAAAGGTGTGGAGCCTCGATGGGACAGATGTTATACAGGGCGCCAGTCTGGGGCAGTGGCGCAGCGTGATGAGCATGGGCCCTGGTGCAAAGAATTAAATGGAAGGGGGTCCTCCCTCTCTTCATTCGTAGTGCGACCATGTGGGCCTTGCACACTCGGTAGCTTTACACGACTTGCGTTTGTCCTACGGTTCTCTCCGTGAGTCCATGGTTTTTTTTCTGAGTCTGTGGTTCTCTAAGTCTATGTGACTCTAGGTTATTTATGCGAGTCTTTGGGGTCTCTGTGCGAGTGGCAAAGCTTTTACGTTTTGCCCAGGTACACCCAATGAAATGGGGGGGGGGGGGGGGCTGTAAAATGTATCGCCCGACACTTGGGCCCATTTGGCCAATCAATGGGCCTCGGTGCATTTCATTTACACCGCCTGTACACTCCATAGGCATGCCACTGCGACACACCCTTCCATGGGTAAACGATCCTTTCCTCGTCAGTTCTTCTCATCCAAAAGGGAGCTGTTGCTCCGTTGTCACGTTACGCAGGTAGTACGTTTACTGAACCCAAAACAAAAATAAATGTCAATGAAAAAGACGAGCAATGTGCACTGGTCACCATCAACAAGATCCCACTGAGACCGAAAAGTCTTCTGCTCCGAGGGACGAGAGATGTCTACAGCAAAAGCGAATACAAAACGCTGATGCAGCAACAACAAAAAACATTAGCCTTATCCCTTACGCAGAGATGTTAATGCTGTATTCTGGTGCAGCCCCGTTGAGAATGTTTTTTTTCTGCCAGTTAGCACTGTGTAAACAAGTCCTAAAATAGCTACAATGAAGGCCGGAGGGAGGGGATATCAACATAAATCAACAATGTAAACAAGGTAAGAGACTGGAAAAGCTCGCAGGTAGCAATTAAAATAATTCGCCTTCCAGATTTGTCCAGAGCATCAAATCCCTCAACGTTTGTTTTTCGTCGCAGAAAACCGACTGAGAGGGCGCATTCATGCGTGGGTGCGTATCACACGATCGCCGCATGTTTATTGAGCGTGCGTGCGGGGATATTTTCATGAAATATTTAGCGTATTGTTGATTTCTTCTTCCCCTTCTCGCTCCCCTTTGAGATGAATTATGCATGCGCTATTCGTGTGATGATACGCTCGGCCAGCGTCGGTAACTAAATCCGTGCCTGCTCCCCCCTGCCCTCCCTTCAGCTAGGAGACTGAAGACAAACTGAGCCGGGTCTCCCAACCGCCCCTGAACAGAGGACACACACACGCTCTTGGACAGACACATGCACTCTCACACATACATACACACGCACTAACAGATATACACACTCACGGAAAAACACGCGTGTTCACAGATAAAACAAACAAAGATCCCCCATATAGCCTTAACAGACTGTTGGGGCAGGTGCTGTTAGCGAGCACCTATGAAGGCCGGCAACTGCACACGAGGAGGTGGGTGGCCAACACCACGCCTGTCCGCCTTTGTATCCCCAGTGGCAATGTTTACACATCACACCAGTTGACCTAGACGAGGCCCAGGACCGGTTCAGATAATCATCACTGGTGTCGGCCATGAGCGGGAATTAAACTCGGGTGGCCGGGTTCAAAGCGCAGCGCGCTAACCGCTGCACGGCCGTTCATGGACGCCCACTCATTCACGGATGCGCACACAGACGCACACGGTCACAGACACACACACACATTTACGGACAGAGAATTGCACGCACACACTCACATTCAGGGCCATCTGCACTGACGCACGACATCGTTTTGGATTCGCAACCGAGAAGAAAATGTCCTTTAAAGGTAATGCGCGTGGGCAAACACGTACGTACGTGTGCTTTAACATTTATAGTCATGTTTGAACAACGTTTGGAAATGTACTTGGATTTAGATGTATACGGTGGAGTTCACTTTGAGAGCTTTTGTCGGAGTTTTGATGATACAGGTTACAACTCAGGTTCCTACAATGATATATTTTTGCGCTTTTATAAATATCTCCAATATAATTACGCTAATGATGATACATTCTACAACATTCCCTCAATAAGGCCCATACAGATTTAATCAAGGAATATTTTCCGCCGCGATGTTGCATATCAGGTCCACGTGGACGGTAGGCAAGGAACGCCAAGCAAAACGCTTCCCCCCGCCAGGTGGCGATAGGTAGCATGACGGATCAGCCGGGGAATCCGTGGCAGTGCACAGAGATGCCACTATACAAACAAGACAAAGATCCCCCTTGTACAGTGCCGGATTAAGCGAGTGCGGGGCCTGTAGCATGATGTTATAAAGGGGCCCTAAATAAAAACACGCAAATATTAAAACACACATTTTTAACTTGCAAAGTAAAGTAATTGTATTTTTTCATTTGCTATACAGCCAGATAGTACGACAAATCGCGACCCTTAAACACTCAATCGTTCATAAAAGTTGAAGGCAGTATAGTACTATAGTAATCGAGCAAGTGCAGAATCACTGAACCGGAATTGATATCTTGAAAGCATTTAGCGCGGAGCTCTTGAAAGTGCGGGCCCGTAGCTACTGCATATGTAGCTACTTTTGCTTTTATAGCCTCAACAGACTACATATACACACACGCGTGCGCACAGGCTCCCACGCACACATGCATTCATTTGCACAGTGAAGACAAAGACGAGACTAAGATCCCCCGTATCGCCTCAACAGACGTTGGCGGCCGGGCTTCTATTCACGAGCACCTCCATAAAAACCGCCGTCACGCACGCTACAACACGCACACACGCTACAACACGCACACACGCAGGGCGCACACACGCTACAACACGCGCACACACTACAACACACACACGCTACAACACGCACACACGCTACAACACACGCACACACGCTACAACACGCACACACGCAGGGCGCACACACGCTACAACACGCACGCACGCTACAACACGCACACACGCAGGGCGCACACACGCTACAACACACGCACACGCGCACACGCTACAACACACGCACACACGCAGGGTGCACACACACACACAGGTACGTACCTACCTACGTTGCCCGAATACGCGCACAAGCCAAACATGCGTCCAGTCACGCTCACGCATTATTTAGTAATTTCAAGCCGGCGACTTGTGGTATGGCTGCAAATGCGACTTTTTTAGGGGTCCACTTTGGTGGTCACCTCCATGGCGATGGTGAAACAGCTTTAAGGGGGTTGGGTGGATGGGGTGGGGGGTACAGGCTGCAAAGGGGACTCGAGCAGAAGCCCCGTTTACGTTCGTGTCTCGTACTCACCCTCCCGCCTGCACACTCGCGCCGACACACACAACACCGACACACACAACAACACACACAACACCGACACACACTCGCGCCGACACACACAACACCGACACACACAACACCGACACACACTCGCGCCGACACACACAACACCGACACACACGACACCGACACACACAACAACGACACACACAACACCGACACACACAACAACGACACACACAACAACGACACACACTCGCGCCGACACACACAACAACGACACACACAACACCGACACACACAACAACGACACACACAACACCGACACACACAACACCGACACACACAACAACGACACACACTCGCGCCGACACACACAACACCGACACACACAACACCGACACACACAACACCGACACACACAACACCGACACACACAACAACGACACACACAAGACAACGACACACACAACAACGACACACACAACAACGACACACACAACACCGACACACACAACACCGACACACACAACAACGACACACACAACAACGACACACACAACAACGACACACACAACAACGACACACACAACAACGACACACACACAAGACAGACACACACATTCGAGATTTGAAGTTTTCGTGACTGCAAGGATCCATACTCTTTGGTTTTTTCGGTAAAGTCCCGTAGGTAGCAAATATAAAATAAATAAAAAATGAAAACAAATAAATTAAATCACGACGTTTCGGGCGCAACACAAGCGTCCTTCTTAAGGGTTGGGGGGGGGGCATGGCGAGTGGGGGGGCTGGGTGTGGGCTGGGAGGCGAAGTTGTGAACATTGGGGGTGCGCTGGGAGGTAATCGACTGGAGCCGAAACTGAGGCTTTGTGATGTAGATGGCGGAAGTAGATAACTTTGTTAACCGAGTTAAACTTTAGCTACCGTGCAGTTTACTGCTAGACAGCCAGTTTAGATTTATTTTCTTAAACATATCCATATTTCCAGTCTGTTACCCCCAGCTCCACACACTATCATCACCATTACCACGCGTTTTTTTACCTTTTAACATCTCAGTTTGAACTCCACACGCTGTTAGCCTGCGTTTGGAATTTACCCACCCGGCAGCATAACAAAAGGCGGCTCAATCCTAGCTTGCTTATCTACTTCCGCCATCTACATCACAAAGCCTCAGTTTCGGCTCCAGTCGATTACCTCCCAGCGCACCCCCAATGTTCACAACTTCGCCTCCCAGCCCACCCCGCCCCCCCCCCACTCGCCATGGCCCCCCCTCCCTCCATGCCCCGCGACTATATAATCCTCGTCACAGCCATCTCTGAGACACACTTAAGCGTGTGTGCTTTCGCTACGTTGTCCCCACCTGAAGAAGGACGCTTGTGTTGCGCCCGAAACGTCGTGATTTAATTTATTTGTTTTCATTTTAAATTTATTTTATATTTGCTACCTACGGGACTTTACCAAAAAACCAAAGAGTATGGACACACACACTTAACACGCGTGTGGGCAGCGCGCAGCTGCGTGACCGCACGCGTCACACACGCGGCTTGGCCACGCACACTCGAGTGTTTCACAACGCGGCAGTATTTTAAGGGGACCTAAAGTTCCCTTATCTTTAACCGGCCAAGTAGGGCATGCAGAGCTCATGTGGACAAATAACGTTTTACGTATAAATGCAAGACATATACAAGCACAGTGTGTATAGATTATGGGGGTGGGAGCGAGGGGGGTTAAAACACGTTTTTTCCCTAAGTATACTATTCTTCGAGGCGCGCATGCTGGCGGGGGATCTAACATCGCGGATTATCGGTGAAGGGAAATGTTTAATTTGCGAGAAACCGAGCAATATATCCCTACTAATGTTTCGCCACCCCTCATGGAACACCGTCATCCACAGTTTTTGTTTTCCCCCGAACCCACTCTTTTGATTTTTTCGAAGGCTGGTTAAAACACGTTTACTAATCACGAACACATCTGTGGGAACACCATTTGGACCAAATATAGTGGTAAAGCAATCTAAGGAAAAACAAACTTCGTAACGGAATATAAACAAGTTATTTCATTTGCTCTGTCGTAACAATGACGAGGCAAAAGTGTGAACCGTTTACACAAAATAACATTTTCCTCACGATAACCCTTGCTCTTTCGCAATTAAAACACCGTGACGGTGGTGGATGGGGGGTTGGGGGGGATGAACTTAGTAATCGGCCATGCATTTTGCTCCGCTCGACATGAACAGCTTATTGTAGTTATGTTTTTGTAACTGCAAAAATGATGGTTATGTGCGAGACGGATACCGTGTTCTCCGGATTACAACATGCTGGCTGTGGTGGAGGGAGGGGGGGGGGAGACGGGGGAGTGCTTGTCATCCGGAAAATACGGCGAGTGATGCAGCTATTTATACAAACAAACACGCGTAATAATACAGCGGCAACAAGAAACTTTGTCTACAGCGAGTGCATTTCGGCGCTCGAAACCGAGTGTACTCGGAGTTTGTGGACAATTTCCTGGCTGGGCTTTTGAGGAGGTGCGTGGTTTTTTTACGGAAAAAGAGGGGCTCTCTTCCTTCCCATAGTCATTTTGCGACGAATATCTACTTCCAGAGACAACTCGTATTTCATCTCGCCGCTTCCAACAGGGATCCGGACAGCGGCCGCGCTAAATAGAAGCTCGCAGACGCTACGTTTAGACGCACGCGCGCACGCACGCGAGCCTTTTCGAGGGGCCCGCTTTGCCCTGGCTTTGTCGGACACCATTTGGTGTGCTCTTTGCGTGAGATTTTATGGTTAAATATCGCGTGAGCTTATTCTGGTCTGTGTGGTACGCAGTCTAACTTATCTTGCTTTTGTGATTGGTGGTGGTGCTGCTGCTGTATCCTTTGGAATTTATATTGAGGTTTTAATCTCCCAGATTAATCTAAATGTAGTGAATGCGCATACCCAGTGCGTGTGCGCGCGTGGGTATGTATGGCCTATAGCATCGTGGGGGCGTGACGCGCAATGGCTAGTCCAGTCCGTTGCAGTGCCCATCTGTAAATTATCGAAGTTCGATTCCTGGTCACGAAACACCACCAATTTGCGATTTTGATTCTGAACCTGGTTTACTCTTAGATAAACTCGGCCTTAAATGAGTAGCTGTGGTGTTTCTTCGTTGGCACCAGGGATACTACAAGAGTCTTGTGCATTCGTGGCGTCGCATGCAAACCACATCATCGTTCCCACCTCAATAGGTGCTCGCTGCTTGCACTAGTCTATGCTGTTGCTGTGACACGTAGAATATATACATGCACACATTTGCATAAGTTAACACTTGGGATGGGTCGTATGATATAGCTGCAGTAAAGTACTCTGAATGTGACATCGCCCGTTAAGTGCTCTGAAAATATATATATATACGGGCAAATAGCTCATGCTTTGTACATCTTAACATTCTTAACGGTACGCAGTATTCATAGATTTGTTTATTTTGTAATCGGCTCAGCTTGTGAGGTGTGCGAAGGAGCGTGTACATATGCACATGTCTACACGCATCGGGTGCTGTGGTGGTGGTGGTGGTGGCGATGGGCTGGGATATTCTTTGCTACGTTTTTTTTGTCGAGACTCCACGGCGGCTCTCGGAGTGGGTGGCGCCGGTTTCTCTTTGCCTTACGAGCTGCTGAGCAGGAGACTCTTTGGTTTCGCGATGGCAACGCGCAAGCGGCGGGACCTTGGCGTGCGGACTTGACGCCAGATCAGTCTCGCCTCGATCGATCCGAAGGGCCCTCGAGCTTTTGGCGATTTTTTTTCTCGGTCCCCCCCCCCCCGCCGTTAAATAATCGCTCTTTTTTTTGCTGCTAACATTTCATATTGTGGAGGTGAAACAAAAAACTGCAACATTCCACTGAATTGAATTTGGGTGGGAGTTGAGGGGAGAGGCGTGGGAGCGGGGTAAGGGGGAAAGGGGTTAATTTTTTGTTTGCAGTTTTGTGATTGTAGTGGAAATTTACAAAAATAAAAAAATAGCAAAAAAAATTTAGTTTGTTTTTTTTCAATAAGCATGCCAAAAAAAACCTGTCACTTGCTTGGGGCCTGTAGCAGCAGCAGGGTGTCTCCTCCTCGGGGGAATGAAGTGTCATTGCCGTAAATCAAGAGGGCACTTTGGGGTGCAGGGCTCTCTTGCAGCTGGGTTCACACTGGACTGCATGTAGTAATTGCCCATATCGCACATAAAGGCACGCAGTAAAAGATATATGCAAAGGTCTGGGATTCTCAGCACTGGTGCGGCTGCCCTTCACTTGGTGCGAGTTGATGGTATGAAAGCTGAGCTGTCGTGTTCCCCGGTGATAAAAATTACATTGCAATGCAGCAGACGTTCTCTCGCATGTGAGAAAGTGTCCCCCCTGGTGTGCAGGTAAAAGATCAACTTGAAGGGATTTCAGAAATAGGTCTGCAGGCCATTCTCCAACACCACGTTGAAATCCTGTGAGAGTTAAATAGTTTTTTCGTCTCGGTTACACGACGCATGGTCAGCATTGTGATTTACATTTTGGATAAAGAGTGAATATAAAAACAATAATTTTCATTATGCACTACTCGCGTAGATGCAGCTAGGAGCGACCAAGTCTAACGGCCGCTTGCACATTCTGCGCAACTGAAACGCGCTTCCAAATCCTCGTGGGCGTACGGGGGGGAGGGGGGAGGTTCGTCGCTCCGTCGTCGCTCTAAGGGACCAGCCCCGCGACCGCCTCCGCCCCCCCGAGCGTCAAGCCGCAAGCCACCAGAATAGTCTGTTGTCTGTTCCACACGCGGCAGCTCGGATTGAGCAGAGATAGGTGCGACTAGAACTCGTGACCTCACCCAACGCTGCGCACTGCAGTCCAGTGGGAATTCTGCAAAGCCCCTCAAGGATTTCCCCGACCTCCTCCCCCCCCCCCCCCCTTGCTGTACGCGGTCGCCCTTGCAGCAGCGCAGCATGGTCCGCTTTAACGAAACACGTTTTTGTTGCACGGGAACTCCTCTGAGTTGACGAGACAAGCCCAGAACTCTCTCTCTCTTTGTAGTCACGGCTCTCGCGTTAATTGGCACCGGAGCTGTAAAGTTTCACTATCGTCGTGACTTTGTGTGTTTTACAATTATTGCGAAGATTGCTAGCTGTTACTCAAATGAGAATCTGTCGTGCAACAATGGGAATTGACTACTTGTAATACAGTTGTTATTAATAATGATGATTATTAGTTCGTTATTTGGATGCTGTGCGTTCAGCTGTGTATAGCCTATAACCTGGGCACCGATTAGTTCGATTTTGGATTGAGAGGAGCACTTGCCCCACTCTCTCTCGTTCACCCACCTGCACACACGCACACGATCCCCGTCACCAATTCCCTTGGCTTGATCATCTGGTGGTGCATTGCCTGCATTTGGGTGGTTTGATCCAGCCGTGAGTTGCTGGCTAAGGTTGAAGACGGCAGGGGGGTTACGCAGGGCATTTTAATCAGTGTCGTCACTGGTGTCAAGAGAATGTTCTGTCCGAATATTTGTTCTCCCAGGGACGAATATTACATTCTCCTGAGGGATATTGGTATTCAGGATTTATTTTTTCGTTCCCACTGGCAAATATTTGTACCCCCCTCATTTCGTAAGACGATCAAGTCGATCGATGCATCTTCAATTAAAACCAGAATTTCACGACAATTTTCCAAACATTTGTGAAACCGTTGCTCAGAGTGTATTCTGATCATTTTACTTTTTTGATCCATCCGTTGGTCCTAGCTTTATCATAACCAATGTATAGCGCCCAACTCCTGAAACTAGTTCATAACTAACCCTTAATTCTACCCTGGAACCATTGGCCCTAACCCCGAATTCTAACCCTAATCCCTAAACACGAATCACAAACCCCAGGCCCTAGCTCATAACACTTTCACCCAGCTGATAATCCTAACCGCTCGCCATAACCCAGGGAAAACAAGTAGGGGGAACAACTGTTTGCTGGTGGGAACAAATGTCCATTCCCTTGGATGAACTCGCCACAACTCCGGTGTGTGAATTGAGCCCTCACTGGCACCGCACCGCCCCTCTGCCCAGTGGATTGCGTCTCCTGTGCAGATTGGATGTAATAATACAAAATGATTGTTCGCGCACGCGTTGATCGGGATAGGTGTCTCTGTACATACCTACTTACCACTTTGGGATCCGGTGAATATGTTATTATTGTTATACTAATTATACATGTGATTTAATGGTCAATAAACTTATTGGGAAAATGTCCAGATTGTTATCGCCCCGTGATTTAATGCTCGAGTGTTTGTTTGTCCTTACCTAGGTAAGCCGTTGGTGTAAAGTTAATATTCCTATGGAATTTGTAAAGAACAGAAACATTGCAATCTCGACCAATGGCGCAGCCAGGATTTTCAGGTAAGGGGTGCAATCCCTCCAGAAATGAAAAATGATAGAGGAGTTGTTAGTAAGTAAAGAGTTAGTAACTAAGGAGTTATTAGTAAGTAAGGGCTTGTCCCTTGCTTTTTATTCGACGCGTGTGCGGCGATGGCGCAGCCATCGATCGAGGGTCGAATTCGAACCGTGTTGTGTGATCGGCATCGCGCTCGCTGAAGGTGTTTGCCTTTAGGGAAGTCGTGTACTGTGTACGCAACTAAGCACAATTCTGAGTCACTTATAACGGATTTGCCGTTCCTTATTGCCAGTTATGGACTCAGACTACTGTCCTATCATCTCAGAGTCCCTTACACGTAATAATATGCTACACAGTGGCAGTGGGGGTCGCAAAATGCCGATTTATTACTAATAAACCGCAATGATCCGATCGAAATTAGGGATTTTCAATCGGATCATTGGGAGTGGCACGTATCCAGCAGCATCGAGTAACACATCCGCAATCCAGCAACCAGGAGGTGGGAGTTGTATATGTATGTTCAACTTCTTCCGCACCCAACCGTGCTAATCTGAGTTCGCAGTTTACACAAATATCGCCGCGCTATTGATGCACTCACCAGGCACGCAGCCACCATTTACGAGAGTTTTAACCCAGAAGTACGGTGCGCATGAAGTTCGACATCTAGTACATATTCTTGGTGCTTTCGGTAAAGCCACGTAAATGTAAAACTAAATATAAAAAATAAAATAAAAATAAAAAATAGAAATAAAAATTGCGCAGCCCTTTCCCCCGCCCACTCACTTTGGAAGCCCTTATAAGCAGCTACATTTGGGGACTTGCCCCCACTTTTCTCTCCTCCTGATGAAGACCGCTTGTGTTGCGATCGAAACGTCGTGGGTTTTTTGCTTTTATTATTTTCAATTTTTTTTATTTTATCTTATTATTTTTATTTTATTTTCATTTTAAGTCTCGATATAGAGTACATATCAAAGCAGCCTTCGCTTAGGACCAGGATCTCAAGCACAACGAAGTTGGCAGTCTTAGCCCAACCATACTACTCGCTGCAGAACATCAGTCTTTCACTTAATGTGGCTTTTTTCTGGATATATATTTTGTTTGCCCTTTGCAGGACAGTGCCTCAAGCGTGTATGTTTATTGGAAAAAGGAAGTCACTCTGGAAAACGCGTTCTCAAGTCATTTCTTTGCATTTCTGACTCAGGATGGTGCACTGCCCATTGTAAAAAAAAAAATCTTCATCTTGTTCGAAGCCAGTATAGCACATCTGAAATGCACATGCAAATAGTTTGTTTATATATAAATAAAAAGATGACTACTAAGAGAGTGTTATTGTTACGTATATGTATCAGTCGGTGGCGGATAATTGTTTCAACGCTGTGGGCACACATGACATTGTTTTCTCCGAGACCAAGGTGCTCTGCAAACCCTCGGGCCACCATCAGAGATTTGTTCATGAAGCCATCCAGATATACAAACACAGACACAACTTTAATCGAGAAGATGGATTCAGATTGAGCAATCATTGGAAGGACGTGATAGACCGCGCCAAGTTTTAACTGATGTGATTCTCACTCACCCACCCGTGTCGTCTTGTTGCCCGATTACTAATTCGAGCTCCTTGCTAATTTCTCCAGCCCCACCCGTCCCTGCACGCCACAAACCCTCCCCCTGTGCCAGCCCCCACCCTTCCCTGCCCCCCCCCCCTCTCCCCTGTGAACTCCCACAGCCACGACTCGACAAAACTCCTCCCCCCCCCCTTTGCCCCCCCCCCCTCACGTGCCTATATGAAGCCACAACAGCAGATCATTTTCTCACCTGAAGACGTACGCTTGTGTTGCGACCGAAACGTCGTGTTTCCTTTCATTTTGTGTGTGTAGCCAACCGTGCTAATCAGAGGCACTGTGTTATTTAGCATTCTTGAGCTGAGGTAAATTGTCTATCATACTCAATCATGACAGGACGTCAAGGTAGACATGCAAGTAAAATAGGTCAATTGTTTAACATCAAACGTTATAGTAGGTCACATTACCAGGGTTAATTCCTATTTTGTATTGGTATGGGGTGCAATGAACGATTAGGGCATTATATAAAATAAATAAAAAAGCTAGCTGCTCTTGCCATGAAGTGACAAGGTTTGTTGTGTATAAGGCTTGGGTATTACGAGTCACTTTCCAATTTTCATCTGGTAAATGACGACACTCACTGGTTGGCTTTGTCCATTCATTGACCTGGCCACACATGAGCCCATTACGACGATGCCGATCACACCGCGGGTTTCGGCCCTGTCTTTGCACGCCACCTGGCGTTCGCCACCGATAATTCCACAACAGGCTCCGCATATTTTTTGGTTCTTTCGGTAAAGTCACGGAGATAGAAATAAAAAAATAAAGTGAATTAAAAAAACCACGAACGTCGAGTGTAATCGGAGTGAGTGTCCTGTCACAATCTTGCGGCGAGGCTCGTGAAGAACGCTCCTGGGCAGCAGTTGGAGGCAGTCGCCCTCCAACAACAACAACGGCGTTGGCAAAGGGACGAGGCTCGCAACCACGAGCGGAGCGCCGGGCGGATAAACTGCAGCAAGTTGGCACAGTAGGGGACAGCTGGTGCATCTGCCAGTCATCTCGGTCGGTCAACCGATGCCCCCTGGGTCTGTCCCGTGACCTCCCGTCAGCGAGCCTTCGCCACTTCACGTGGTGACCTCAGGGCACCTGGCCTGGCACAGACGCCGTGGTGACGTCACTTCCACTTAGTGGCGAATGGCGGCTACAAAAGTGAGCCTCATTTTTATTATCGCATTTGGCAGTGATGCACAAGCACAAATAATAAAAACTAAACTCGTAAAAAGCTGACCGGAAGAGGAAAATATAGTTGACATTTCAAGCAGTGTCCTGAATAAAAGAACGGTATCTGCAATTAAAATCCATTGCATAACAATGCAGATGTGTATTGCTATGAAAGACCATTGCCTGAAATGTTGCCTGTTGTGTAATCTTTCCACTTGAGGGCAGTGCTATTGATGGTTTTTTGGAAATTAAGGTCTGGATTTCAAGAAATAGGACTGAACAGGATTTGGAGCAATCAGTACTGGACAGACATTCAGGACCTGCTCAAGTCAGATGCGCTTTGCATGTTGCATTTATAATTGACCTCTGAAACTAAACTATTTAATTTACCAGGTAAAGTCCACGGGACGTTTAGCTCTTCTTGTTCAAACTTGACCTGACCACACATGATAGATCATCATCGAAGTGGCTTATCGTAATCTGGGAATTTATAGTCGCCAAATAATCTGAATGCACGTTTCTAAATGTGGAGGTGCAAGACCTGGATAAAAATCCACGCGACCACAGGTTGAAAATGCGAACTCCTAATATACAGGGGAGTCAGGGTCGTGATTGCATCCACGACCTCCTGCATAACAGGTGAGGGAGATGATATCTCGCCAGCGCGGCACTTTGAGGCTTGGTGCTGGGAAATGGTGAATCCCAGGTCGTGTAAGATTGCATTGGTCACGAGGCCGAGTTGTGGAAGTTGTCCAAAAAGCGGCTAGCGTGAGACCAACACAGGAGGAGACAAGCGGAGCCACGATCTTCCAGGATACTTTCTTTATTTTGTTCACTCCGGGTAAGGGGCCGTCCATAAATGACGTCACGCGATTTTGGACGATTTTTGACCCCCCCCTTTTAAATATGACGTCACAAATGTCTGCCCCCCCCCCCCCACAAAAAAATATCAAACATGCTTCAAATCGCTTTAAACTATTGTCATCGTAGAGCGTATTTAATGTGGCGCTGCACTCAAATGTTGAAGGAGAAATATTTATAAAAAAAAAGTCTATTTAATTAAGTAGAACGTGTTGTCTATATTTATTTAAAGTTGCGCATTTTGACGTGACATCACACTGACATCACATTTCTCAACCCCCCCCCCCCCTCGTTACACATCGTCACAAATGTCTGACCCCCCCCCCCCCCCAGGTGCGTGACGGCATTTATGGACGGCCCCTGAGGCCCATTGAGCTAGAAAGCTCTATTGTTCAAAAGCGATAAAGGGGGTGGGCAAAGAGATATACATGGATACAATAAAAAATATGCGACCAGAAATCAGGGTGGCATGATATAATTGAAACCTTTAAATATAACAGCGAATAATTTGAAAAGGGCTACAAATTGAGACATTCAGCATTGTAGACATTGTAGCAGGGCGTTGATTGGATAAAAATCAATAATGATAAGTTTGTTGAGTCAGATAAGACCCATTAGGTCAAAGGTAGCTCCATTGAGCCGGTCTCTTTTCAATCTCCCTTTTAAAAAGCACACTACAATTGAAGGAAATCCAAGGCTCCTTTACACTATGAAGACTCACATAACCACATATTTAGTTTAGATAAGCAAAGCAATGTAGTTTTAAACGAATTGCAATTGGTGGTGTGCGCGATGGTTGTGTGCAAAAAACACTTGTAAATAGTGATGATGGTTACCAAACGTCATGAAGAACAGCACTAGAATCACATACCTGTCAACCCATATGGTTTACCCGTATTCTTGTCCAGGGAAATTGAGTTTTCAGGTCCATATGGCGTACAGCCGTTTCAATAGGGCAACAACAAAACTCATACGTCCAAATAAAAAAAGTCGTGGGACAGCATCAGCATTCAAGATCACAGAGAGTAGCATAAGTAGCATAATTGACACCAATTATCAAAATTAATACATTAAAATTGTTTAGTAAAATGTTTTGGTCTATTTCTTTGTGTTTCTCTCTTGTGAGGGGACTTTGTAGGATGAACGTTGACATTTATAAGGGCACGGGGTGACTAATAAGGTCTGAATTGGTCTGTGGTAACGTAGGCACTGATTAGGGGTTGACAGGTATGGGGTCCATATTCTATCTACGTGGCTTTACCGAAAGACGACCCAACGAATATTAATTCCTGCAGTTACGAAAGCTTTAAGTCAAAGAATGGGATCATTATGTATAGGTACACATTGCACTCCGATTGTAGGTAGTAGCATTTCGGATACTATCTATTATGAAATGAAACCCGGCTTACTCATGCAGCGATTCATTCACAACCAAAACAACATGCTCAGTCGGCGCTAAAATACTCCACCGACGTTGTGGAGACGGCGTGCGTGACACAGAGAGTCATGAAGTAAAAGAAGGCCCTCCGATTGGTACTTAACGGGCCTGAAAGGGGATTTGGTTAGAGGCAGGGAATTGAAGGCATTGGAGGAGAAGTACAACATGGAAAGAGTGGGAAAGCGAGGATGATTGAAAGGGATGACGGTTGGAATCCGTTAGAAAAAATTGAACGCGATTGGCTGGAGGGAAAGCAGAAGGTCAAGGAACCTTAGGGGAAGGGGCTTGAGGGATGTATCAGTGGGAAGCGAGAGAGTTCGGGAGGCTTGGCGCAAAGGGAATCTTTGAAGGCAATGTCTCGTGATGGAAGTAATAAAGACTCCTGTTATTGAAGACTACGGTGTCGGGTGTCAGTACACGAATATTAAAACCTAAAACGCATCAGGGCTCTATAGTCACCCATACGTAACGGCGGCCATACAGCATAGAAAACCCAATCTCTGTTGCGAACTGCAAAGAAGCAGTGTTTTCTTCGTGAACATAACCGTATATAGGTGCATCCCCATGACATTTGTCGAGAAGAGCTGCCATGCACTTGTGCAGGAGTCCCTTTCTGCGGTAGTCCGGTTTTACATATCCAAATGCAATTGATCCGTTTAAGTGGGTGAGGAGCCAGGCGACCGGATTTCCAGAACCGTCCAGCACAGAGCTATTGGGCAATCCTTTCGATATGCAAGCCTGGATTAAGCTCAGACTGTCAGGCTCGCCTCTGTGCGTCCACGAGTTCCACACCAATTCAACGTGGCTTGTATTTAATGTAGACATTTCCAGATCCAATTCAGACTTTCGAATTCTGCAAAACAGTAAAAACAATATATGCACAAGTGATTGACTGTCATGTCTTGAATTCACGGCTATGGTTACCACTGCTGAGGTACACAACACTATAAAACTAAACTATTTTTATTTTACCAGGTAAGGCCCACTTTTTTGAGAGCTTATATATAATAGCTCAACAATGTGGCTTATCACGTGCAAACTTATATCATCCAAATAATCTAAACACATTTCTAAATCATTAGACCTCCTTTTCCAGTACCAAAATATAATAATAGGTTTTCCCATTTTTTCATGCATATATTATCAGAGTGTGTGTCTTGTTTGCATTTTGACCACAAGTATTGTGGTTAATACACACATGATTCCTTGTAAAAAGGTTTCAGTTTTGTTGTCAGAAAAAAGGGGGAAAACCCTATTGTTACATTTCTAAATGCGGAGGGAAAACCAGAGAACCTGGAAAAAAATCCCTGCAACCACAGGGAGAACATGCAAACTCCAAATATACAGGCGTCAGGGTCGAGGTCGAACTCACGACTTCATGTGTACCAGGCAAGGTAGTTAACATCTCGCTACCATGGCACCCCTGGACATATCGTGGGAAGAATATCTCACATGTCACAAGGGGGCAAAACTACATGTACGCTGTTTTATACAAATTAAAAAAAAATGCCTTTTAATGTCCAGCCAGACTTATGGATTTCCCAAGAAAGCTACCTCAAAAAAGAGGATAGAGACTGGGAAAACCAGGGAATGTGGAAACCCACATTCCCTGGTACACCATAGAGCTCGATGTATCTCCGACCATCATCACATAACCATTGAACTGAAACATGTGCACCAAGCTCTCAAGGCGAATGGATATTCTGACTACACAATCCATAAAGCTATCACCCAACTGTTGGGAAAGAGCCATCTGAGGACCCAATCAAAACCTCACCTTGCCATACATAGCAGGGGTCACCAAAAATATCTCCCAAATCATGAGCAAACACAAGATCTAGGTTCTATTTAACAAAGTGCATCAAATTCGTGATCTGATCCCATCTGTGAAGGACACGATTCCTGACATGCAATATCCTTGCGTCTACAAACGAAGCTGTATCTGCAGCAGCAGTTACTTTGGGGAAACGAAGTGACATGTCTCGGACCGTGTTCGTGAGCATAAGTCAAATTTCAAACATGGGAGGACCAACACTTCAGCCGTGGCGGATCATTGTTTTAATGCGTTTGGCTCACACCAGAGGTGGGACAAAGTCATTGTTATGCAAGTCCAAGTCGAGTCTGAAGTCATCAAATTCATGACTCAAGTCTGACTCGAGTCCAAGTCACATGACTCGAGTCCACACCTCAGAGGTGGGACAAAGTCATTGTTATGCAAGTCCAAGTCGAGTCTGAAGTCATCAAATTCATGACTCGAGTCTGACTCGAGTCCAAGTCACATGACTCGAGTCCACACCTCTGGCTCACACGAAATTGAATTCTCTAAGACGAAGGTACTTTGCAAGCCCACTGGCTATCAACAAAGATTCGTTCATGAAGCCATCCATATAAACAGACACAGACACAATTTCAACCGAGAGGATGGGTACAAACTTAGTAATTATTGGACGGATGTCATCAACCAGTTTAAGTCATAACTGGCTGTGACGTTTCCATCTTGTCACCTTCCGATGTTAGTTTTATTTCACTAAAGATGGGATAAGCAATTCCAGTTCCTGCGGTGTCACCCCTTGCGTTGGGCGTACCACAAGTTGTTTTTTTCTCCATGGGTCTCCCCTTCTCTTGTTTCTCCGATTTCACATTAAAATAACCATCTCCGCTCGTGCTGGCCCCAGGGCACTCGTGCCCCGCCCACTTTGTCCTGGTACCAGGACGCTTGGGCTACGCCCATTTTAAACCTTTAAAGCAGCTTCCCCACTTTTTTCCCACCTGATGACGGTCGCTTGTGTTGCGATCGAAACGTCGTGGTTTTTTTATTATTATTTTTGAACCCATCTATGTGGCTTTACCGAAAGACCCAAATAATATAATTAATTACGATTTTGACTTCCGTTTAAAAGAGACCCCGGGGTCCCGCCATAATGTTCAAATGTAGCACGGCATGCCTTGTACCTGAGTGTGTCAGGCTCATTCGTTGTGGCCATGTAGTAGTAGTCCGATTGCCGGGATACACGGACATCTTTTTTGGCCGCCATATCATTGATACATTCTTGAAAATCAGCGTCTACACCTGTTACACACAAAACGTTCAACTCAACGAAACATGGCAGTGTAACGGTCGAGGAGTTCTCCAGACAAAGATACATATAAACATACCAGGTGTGCCACGTGTGGTGGTCAAGGTTGACACCAAGGTTGACACAGGTCACACGGGTCACACAAGCTAGGGGAGAGGTACGTACCGGTCTGGACCGGCCCGGATTGACAGGGACGAGAGGTGGTTGGAACGGCTCTGAGGGGAGGGGGCTGGCGAGAGCCAGGGCCCGAGACACCCCCGCCCCTCAGAGAGAGGGGATATATAAGACGGCTCCCGGAGAGCGAAGGGGGGATCGGAGGAGAAACTGAAGGAGGAGAGCCGGAGATCCTGGACCCCCAAGCCTCAAGGATGCCGCCCCGCTGGAACTGAGTGGGCTGAGTAGCTGTAGGCTAGGGAAGAGAGTAGCTGAGTAGCTGTAGGCTAGGGAAGAGAGTAACAGAGTAGCTGGAGGCTAGGGAAGGAGAGAAATGAGAATAGAGCCGGAGGCTGTACCTCCCTAGGTTGTGTGCGTGGGACTGTCTCCCCAGTGAGTCCTGAGGACTAGTGTTATCGGAATAAAAGCGTGTGGCCTCTACGAAGTGTCGGTCTCATTCAAGAATACTACACACGTATTACTTTAGATAATTTAACAATGGCAAGAAATGGTAGCTGACTTGCTATGGTATTTAAAAAATAATTACGAATATACATGCCAGATTATCTATTGACTGTGATTTTAATGTGGTTCTTCCCAGTTTGCTTTTCAATAATAAAAAAAATTGACACTGTACGTCAATAACACGGCCTTGAAAGGAAAATATATAATAATTTCTAGCGTTGACCTTTTTTTAAAGCACATAGGCCAGAGTGGGTGAGAATTGGAGACTACATGTTACACCATGGGGCCTGCTAAGAATATGAACAGTATAAATTGGCACATAAATACAACAATAAAAAAAATGTACGACTACATACACCAATTTGTATTTAAAGCTTAAATTATTCAACGTTGCTGCCACATTGAATTATAGTTAAAATAAGTGCATTATCTACTCACTCAGATTCCTCAGCATAATCCAGTCCGCTTATATAGTAATACCTCGTTATTCTCATATTCAATAAACAAAGTTTCAGTATCACACACTTTGGATTTTTTTTACTATTATTTTACACAGAAAGCTGAAAATGAGTAAAATAATTAACGCACTCAAATGTATAAATACATAATAAATTGAGCGATCTACAGTACAAAATAAAGAAGAATAAAATAGTTTATTCACTATGTTTCTTTAATTTGTCAGTTTTTTATTTTAATACTGTACAATATAAAAGAAATTATTTTCAATATAAATTGTCTTTGTTTTACAATTTCAGTGGCAATGTATGCAGTGTTTATGGTATGAAATGGTCAGTTATGAAGGTTTCGGACACAACCTCATTGTACTAATGTTAGAAGTTATTCAACGTAGGAAGTTCAATATACGAAGCTCCACGCAGACATTTCACCTTCCAGCATGAAGGGTTCCTTCCATTCCACAACATTCCACAGGTTAGCAAAGCTGCTTGGGTTGGATGCAAATGTGGAATATTTGGGCAATGAGAGCTTTTCACCAGCCTTATAAAGGGAAGATTGAAACATGACACAAAGTATTAGTCAAACTTAAAAAGAAACTAGTCAATAAAACACTAACATCTAAATGTTTTGAGCTCAAAGAAAGTCGCTGCAATGCTATTGGTATAGATACGTTCACCCATTATTTGCATGCATATTTTGGTGAAAGCCTTAAGGAAATCATTTGTGATAGCCCTCTGCTCACGAGAGCGAACATTGTGGATTGTTATAAGGCAGTGATTCTCAAAGTGTGGTTCCCGGTACCACTGGTGGTCCATGACGGTCCTCCAGTGATCCGCGGGCTATGAAACAAACACAGCCTGATCCGAAAATAATGACGTTTACACCTCTTGTTTCGGACGTTGAATTAATATTTTACCCATAGTTTATTTGAAAATGAAGTTAGGTAAACTCCCAAATTGAACTACCGTAAACCCAAGATCTAAATAGCACCCATAAAAATAATACCTGCGTTTAAATATTTTGTATTTATGTTCCGGTAATACGACTAATTCAGTATGACTGTTTTTTTTTATAGAGAAGCGAATGCGTCTTGTCACTAGGGGTGGGGAAGCTGGGTGGTCCGCGGTCTACGGGCCAAACAAGTTTGAGAAACACCAATTTCAGGTGATGTGTTCTACCCAAGCCCACTTACTTTTCATAGCAATCAACATCATGCCTCTTAACTCGTGTACGCTCTCAATTCCTTGTGCTCCTCCATCTCAGTGTAATTTAAGGCAGTGGGGTTCTCAAGCGGGGGTAGGCGGACCCCTGGGGATACGTGGCAATGTCCCAGGAGGTGCGTAAGGTGATTTATGAATGTGTGAAATTATATCATACATGAGAGCCATTGGTGAATAATCGTGTATGAATCTATAAATATAAAATAGCTACGATTTGTTTTATCCATATGGCAACCTGGAACGATATAAAATACCTTTCTAAACTCATTGATCGTAAACAATGTGCTTTCCAAGAGTAACCACTGAGTGTGAACAAATTTCGTCTCGCATGGAGAGCCTCTGTTTTTTATTCACTTGCAGCTACCAGCTAGTTAGGATACCTCACAAAATGGACAATTGGTTAAAATATTGATGTACATTTATTTCTCAGAGCCATGTTGGGTCAGGCAAGGTGGCACTCTTCAACAAGGGGTAAAGTATCCAAAAAAGGTTAAGATCCACTGATTTAAAGCATCCATTTCCGTGCCCTGTTGGAGTAACTAAATTGTGAACTTCACAAGCTGGAATAGTTTAATAACAGAACAATAAAAACCTCTCAGATCACTCGCCAAAATACTGGGCATGCAACTCTCATTAATCACCATCATCCATTTCAAATGACCTTGACATGTCCAAAAGGCTTGTGAGGGCCTTGTAGACCTCAGTGGCTGTGCAAGATAGGGGCACCCATACTAGTCGGGTACTTGGCAAGAGACGGCACAAAATGTGGTGCCTTCAACCCCCACTGACCCCATACATATAACTCACCTGGTACGTTGGCTGCACAATTACAGCCTGAAAGTTCGGCCAAGAGTCCACGTAAACGTCCATTGGCCCCGACATGCCGTCCAGTCCATAGTACAACCACCCATACGTCTGCAGACACGCAATACTGTAGTTCATTATTTTTTGCAGTTTAGAGATTAAGATGATGGGAGCTGATGACAATGGATGTATGCATGCACGTTGAACTTCTTTCACATCATACGTAGCCAACCATGCTAAATCAGAGGTGTGTGGGGAAGGACAACAAACCAAACACAAAAAGCAGTTCTATAGAAATGAGTGTTCAATCTAGATTATTTAAAAGCACATAGCTCCAGTGGCTTCCTAATGTTGGAAGGAAGAGCATTCCAGACGGCCGCAGAAGCGCATTTGAAAGCGCGCGATGTGGTGACCATCTTTGTTAGATGGCCAGCCAGAAGCCGCTGCGAGGATCAACGAAGTTCGCTTCGTGGTTTATGCTCCTCCACAGAGCAGGATGGACATAACAGATTAGAACAATGGATGAAGAGAACTTAAACAATAATTAAACGTTAGGGTAATGGATATTTGATGACCTTGATGAAGATTACGATTCTGAACGTATGATGAAGACTCTGATAAGAGATAGGTAAAGTTGAGCGAGGTGAGAGGAGGATGGTGTATTACGGAGATGATATGACGCTTCTTCACTCAGGAAGGCCTCACCGAGTCCAAGACTATATCAGAAGGAATCTTGACTTAAAACTTTCGTGACTGCAGGAATTCATATTCTTTGGGTCTTTCGGTAAAGCCACGTAGATAGAACAATAATTAAAATATCACGACGTTTCGATCGCAACACAAGCAATCATCATCAGGTGAAAAAATATAGCGGGACAGCTGCTGAGGCAGGATGTTATAAAAGTTTGAGATTGGTGTAGCCCAAGGGTCTTTAGCGAAGTGGGCGGGGCTAGAGCTGAAATTTGCGTGTACATGTAAGATCGGAGAGCTGAGCTACCTCCACGACGAAGAAGCTGTGGATGTGGCCATTGTATTGTGAGAGATTAGCATGTCAATGTAAGAAAAACGAGAGCCACCACCACATCGAGGAAAACGAGCAATGGTGGCTGTGTTAGTGAGACATTTAGCCTGTTAATATAAAGACATTTAACCTGGTAATGTAACTCAGAGAGTCGAAAATAACTGCTAACATCGGCAGGTAGGATGGAAACATCACAGCCAGTTATAACTTAAACTGGTTAATAACGTCTTTCCAATGATTGCTCAGTTTATACCCATCTTTTCGGATGAAATTGTCCTGTGTTTATATATCTGGATAGCTTCATGAACGAATTTTGCTAATAGACAGTGGATTTGCAGAGTACCTTCGTCTTGGAAAAATAAATGTTGTGTGTGCCCACAACATTAAAACAATGATCAGCCACAGCCGAGGTATTGGTCCTACCGTGTTTCAGATCTGATTTATGTTCACGAACACGGTCCCGAGACATGTCGCTTAGTTTCCCCAATGTAACTACTGCCACAGACACAGCTTAGTTTGTAGACACTGGGGTATTGCATGTCAGGGATCACATCTTTCACAGATGGAATCAGATCACGAATTTTATGTACTGTGTTGAATCGAACCTGGATCTTGTGGTTACTCATGATTTGGGAAATATTTTTGGTAACCCCTGCTATGTATGGCAAGGTGATGGTTTTGATTGGTCCTGAAATGGTTCTTTCCCAACGGTTGGGGTGGTAGCTTTACGGATTGTGTAGTCTGAATATCCATTCATCTTGACGGCTTGGTGTACGTACTACAGTTCACTGGCTAGGTGGTGATCGTCGGAAATACATCGAGCTCTATGGTGTAGAGTTTTGATGAGGGAATTCTTCTGGGATGGATGGTGGTGGGAGTCAGGTTTTAGGTAGGCATCCATATGGGTGGCTTTCTTGTAGACAGTGTGCCATTGAGCCATCTGGTCTCTTTTTGATTAAAACATCCAAGAATGGTAGCTTGCCATCCTTTTCAACCTCCATGGTGAATTTGATGGCTGGGTGTATGGAATTGATGTGGTTGAAGAATTGGTCCAGAGTTGGTAGGCCATGTGACCAGATGACGAACGTGTCATCTACATACTACTTCCAAAAGGAAGGACGTCGGGTGGATGCCTGGATGGCATCTGTCTCAATTTTCCATGAAACATTGGCTACAACTGCTAATAAGGGAGAACCCATTGGGGGGTACCTTCAACTTGTTTGTAGAATTTTACAATGTATTTGGTGCACTGCCCTCTGCTGTCCATAACGTGCCTCTGCAGCATTCTACAGCACCTGTGTCATGCGTGTTGATGGCCCATATAAGCACTATCCGGTGCTAAAACTCTGCTTAGCTTCGAAGAGCTGATGGGATCGCGTCCATTCAGGGTGCTTTGGTTAGAGGCAATCAAACAGAGCTCCAGTTAATACCAAGTGGCGCTGCCGAGTTCGCTCACCTCGGCTGAGTGAGGAAGGCTGCGAGACAAGGCCACCATAAGCTCCCTCAAGTGCTGCTTGCTGCGCAGAATGATCATTCTCTTGTCTGTGAGACCACGGTCAGCGGATGGAACACACACATGTACGTAGCAACACAATTAGCAGTTACTGGTTACAGATATTGGATATACATTCTTGACCAAAGGCACTCCACCAACTCACTATGACAAGACAAATAAAAACAGCACTCGTGTTCGAAACAATCTTTGAAAGAACGTAATCAACCAGGTGAGGTGTTGACTGTTGTGTTGGCCGACTCTCTGTGTTGTATTGCGTTATATTTCCAAGTTTACTAGGTTTGTTTTCTCATTCGTTTGTACCTGATGATGGTTGCTTGTGTTGCAATCGAAACGTCGTATTCTATTATTATTTCATTTAATTTCAATGTAACTTTATCGAAAGAACCAAAGAGTAATTCTTGCAGTCACGAAAGCGTCGAACCCATTTATGAGTTACGAAACTGTTTGTATGTCGTCTGCGGCCTTCGCAAAACTCCCAAAAACTCCCAAACAATTCCTATTTAATTCCTCATGCCAACCCATCGATATATCGAAACCGCGATCGGGAAAGTCGCGATGCAGAAGGGTCGACTGTGTATCTTTTTTCTTTTGTTTTATTTTAAACAAAATGAATATGCAACGGAAAACAATATTAGGGGTCAATTAATTGGGGGGGGGGGTGTGGGGGTCACAAGATATCTGAACCACCCTGTGGAGTAATAACCATTCAGCCTTGCGATCAATGAACACAGAAGCACGATGAATAATACACGCTTGAGGTATATTCATGTCAGAGCCCCCCCCTCCAAATGTTTAGCGGGCGTTGTGCGTCCGGCTCCGTGGTACAATGACAACACATGCCAGAATAGAATAACAACCCACGTACATCTCGGTGAGATCTAAAAACTACATTTCTTACGGTTACGAGTGGAGTGCTGTGCAGATGCCGATTGCAATTCGGCTGTTGTGGATCGTGTTATTCCGAACGTGTATGGAGGTCGTGTATAGCAAACAGGCGTGGTGCACCTTCGTACGTGAAGGGCTCACAAGTGACGTCTCCACAAATCTGGCTGTCGCCTGATGAAGCGAGTTGTAATTACTGGCCAAACGGCGTACTCAGATTGTAAATGTTGTGGCTTTGCTCTCCAACACACCGGTGTGCTGTACTAGCGACGAATTGCCACGTTCTGTTTACGTGACAAACCCCTTACTAGTTGGCTGTGTCGGGTTGTGGCGGGTTTAAAGAAACATTTATATTTACGCGATCTAACCACAAAAAGAAACCTGTATGATGGACATAATGATTCAACAGACAAGACGACGAGCTGCCCCACTGTCCACATTCTTTGATATGTCTCGCATGTGGCGGACTAATGACACCGTTCAAACCACACGCTGCAAAACAAATGTTCGTTGCGGTCTGCGGCCCGTGTTGGACTCACCTGCGGTGGTGATGATGGTGGTGATTGATCGATCGCTACCTACGGAGTCGTGCACTCCTCAACGTTCATAGCAGCACACGGGAAACCTCAGGAGGGGGGGGGGGACCCTGTTGTGTCACATTCCGCTGCTCGTACAGGAATCGCCTTGGGTAAGCCAGATAAGCCAGGTGCGGCATGTGAATGGAGGCCGCGGCCATGCACGGGAGGCCGCGCCTTAGCAGCACCGTGTAGATTATTCAGTCTGTCCGGTCATTGCCTCCGCCAGATTTGTTTTGCGTGTGCATACCGGTGAAGCTGATGAGCTTAATCAGGCAAATAGCCCGATGAAGCTGATGAAGCTGGTTGCAATCAGATACCGTGCCAACCCATACGGTTTACCCTGTATTATTGTACAGGGAAATTGAGTTTTCAGGTCCATACTGCGTACAGCCGTTTCAATACGGGCAAAAAATGTTGTCTATTTGTTTATGTTTCTACCTTGCGATGGGATTTTATAGGATGAAAGGTTGAGATTTATAAGAGGCACGGGGTGACCAATAAGGTCTGAATTGGTCTGTAATCAGGTAGGGCACCGATAAGGGGTTGACAGGTATGCAATCACCAGCGAAGCGTCGTAGTCAAAATTGTTAATGGAGTGGATCTACTCTCTAACACGCAGGTGTGCTGAAGTAGTAACCAATCGGCACGTTTCGTTTACGTGACAAACCTTCCTCTATTGGCTGTGCTTGGGGGAGTGGTGGGTAAACGACACATTTTCATTGACGTGGTCTAACTCAGAAAAAAACCCTTCATATTATGAAGAGTATTGCTCGCGAAAGCCTACTACTACTACGTGTTAAATACTACGTCTCTACTACTACTACGTGTTACTGGTAGTAACCTCCTGGTTAAACCAGCCCACAGGGAATTATTTCGTTCGTCCCTCGTGCAGGGAGGAGCTGGGTGCGGAGGGTGGGGCTGGGTGGGGAGGGGAGGGTGGGGAGGGGCTGAGTGGGGAGGGTGCGGAGGGGCTGGGTGGGGAGGGGCTGGGTGGGGGGGCTGGGTGGGGAGGGGCTGCTTAACCTACTCACGCCGGCTTGTGCCCGCCCTCACAGTCGGGCATATTTGCGGAATACACCACGCCGCCGTTGACACTGGCCATTGACCGAGCAACCCAAAGTTACTACCAGCTCCCTCCGCAGGAATGTGTTAAATACTACGTGTCTACTATTACTACGCGTTAAACCCTCGAGGTTGAGTTATCGAACTCGGAGCGCGGTGTCCCACGGTGTAAGCATCGCAGGGGTTTGAGAGTCGGAGAGAGCGAGCGAGCTGCAGAACAGTTTGGAGCTCGCAAAAATTCGATCCTCTGGTTGAACCGTGAGTTCATCCAGGGACTTGGGTACCTAACGAGGCCCGCGACGTGAACGTTGATCCATTGCTGCTGTATTCACAGTCGCTCATGATATTGTCCAGACCATTGCACCCGGGCGTTCATTTTAGGTGGCGTGAAGCGAGATGCCCAGGCCAACGCACAAGATGGTCAATTTCCACTAACGTTGCGTATAGCAAGCAGTCGAACCGAGGTCACTGGGATTGGGGAGGGGGGTGCAATAAGCACTATATGACTACACTCTTTGGTTCTTTTGGTAAAGTCACGTAGGTAAAATAAATAAATAATAAATCACGGCGTTTCGATCACAACACAAGCAATCGTCATCAGGTAGAAAGATACAGCAGTAGAACTGCTGAACAAGAAAGGACTGTTGCAACAAGAGGTTATATATAGGTTTGAGGTGGGTGTCACCCAAGGGTAAGTAGGCGGGGTCAGAGATGGAAAGGAGTCCCATTGCCATGTGCACGCACAACAGATGCTCCAAGGATTGGCATGCTAAAGTCAACACGGGACTAGATAATAAGGCGTACATACAAAATGTAAATTGCTTTAAAGTAACGAATTAATTGATTAATTGTTGCCGATTTTGATACAAGTGTAATGCGGGCGTAAATGGGCGGGGCGGATATGACGATCTGAGAGGGAGGAGTCAGGGTCACGGGGGGAAGAAGTTATAGCGGGGAGACAGGAAGCCATCTGGGTCAGTCGGGGGAGTGAAGGGTGGTGAACACGTTGGGTGGTCGCCGTGCCTCAGCCTGGTGGCTGAGGGGCTCATGACGGCGCCAGCCAGCGGGGTGGAAGAGAGAGTTGGGGATAGAGACAGAGAGTGGCGAGATAGCCACAGAGGCCACGCAGGGCTGAGGTTGGAGATGGCGAGATAGCCACAGAGGCCACGGAGGGCTGAGATTGGGGAGTGGCGAGATCGCCACACACGGTAAGACTCGGCACCGCCGGCCAGCGGTGACCGAGCACGGAGGAACAGGGAGCAGCGGTGGAGCTGCTGTGAGAGCAGCCGGAGGGCTGCACCAAGAGCCTGCAGCGGAGCTGCAGGAGCGCGGAAGGCTACGGGAGCGAAGGCAGCTGTGGAGCTGCCAGGCAGAGAGTCTCAGGAGGAGAGCCGTGAGGGAAGGAGAACGCGAACCCAAATAAAGGACACGGAGTCAGAGAGAAGCGTCCGAGTCTTTTATTACACTGGAGTCAGAAGTGAAACGGCATCTCAAAACAACTGAGAGAAGAAAAAAAGAATATTCCTGCGCCATCATCTGCTACATCATCCGACGACGACGACCTTCCTCAGACGGTGGACCTGCCTGCGATGGAAGAGGAGATCCGTGCTGGAACGAGTACGGGTCCGGGTGAGCAAGGTGTCGCCGCGTTGGTGGACCTGTCTGTGCCGGAGGACGCCAACTTACGATGGAGACAGATGGCGGCGCAGATGGAGACCTTGAAAATCGTGCTGACGCAACTGTGTGAGTTCACCACGCCGAGGACGGCGTCGGGGAGGCCCGGTGGTGATCCGCAGGCCTCCGCCTTTCCTGCGCTGCCAGCGCCATCTGCCACGTGGCACGAAGACGCCATCTTGGGCGTGGCAGGGGAGAAACGGCGGAAAGCCGCCATCTTGTCTTCACCGCGGCGGGGAGACGCCGCCATTCAACATCGCGGCGGTGACGCAGCTTTGCGCTGCCATCTGGAGGTGCCTCGGGGAGAGCAGCCTGCAGTGAGCTGCTGCGCGAGGACGAGCTGCGAGGAGAGGACGACGATGCTGCAGCTGCTGGGGCGGGAGCTTCCCGTCCTGGCTCGGGTGCGTGACAACGGAGCAGTCAAGTCGCCGAACGAGTTCTGCGAGGCGTCTCAAGTTGCCACCCTGCCGTCCTCTTCTTGCTGCAGCCCCGGGCGAGTCGTAACGATACGCACCCGGCCTTAACACACACCTCACCCATCTTTCGAGGGCCGGGGGGCGATTTTGTTTTTTTTCTCTCATGACTCGATTGTGCGGAGCGCGGTTCGGACTGTGTGTATGTGTGTGTAATAACGATGAACGCGCTATCTGCTTGTTGCTCGGTGTCAATATAAGTGTGTGCGTGTGTTGAGAATGGACGGAGAGTCTGCTGTACTTGCTGAGTGTCAAATTGTGTGTGTGCGCTGCGGCGTGGAGTTGTTATCTTGATGGCGAAGTTAATTATTAACTCGGGAGCGTCGGGTATCTTGCGCTGTATTATCTCGTGGGTTA